CACACGAAAGAAGGAGGGGTCTCGCACATGACAGATTGCAGGGTCTCACAGATCTAACAGGGTCTCGCATGACAAGGCCTCACTCACTGGGCAAGCAAATTCAAATAAAGGTCGTAAACAGGCCAGAAGGGAAGGCATCAGAGAAGGCAGGGCGTCATAGCAATTTCTCGCCAAAAAAAGCATCTTGCAGAAGTCTGGGTGCAGCATGGTTTCACAGATGGCAAGGTCTCACGGAGGGGAAGGCAGGGTCTCACAGGAGGCAGGGTCCCACATCTGAAAGAAAGCATCTTATTTGCAAAGGAAGCATAGGAAAGCAAAATGGTTTTTTTCCGTGATTCTTATGTTTTTCTCTTGTTTTTACCAAATAATCATGTGCCTTCCATGTTTTTTCTGGCAACCCTGGAAAACATCTAATGGGAGGGGTTTGGGAAGGATTATGGGGTGTGTGGGGAGGTGGGTGGGGGGGTTGGTGGTGGTGGGGGTGGGAAGGGGAGGGGTTAAGGAGAATGGAAGGGGTTGGGCAAAGTGTTAAGGGGGTGTGGAGGGGGGTGGGGGGGCTATTGTGGACAGGAGGGGGTGTGCTGAGGGAGGGAAGTCTTGCTCGCCCCGTTAATTGCGTTTTCCTCGCCCCGTTAATGTTGTCGAACGTTTGTCGGAGGAGGTGGTGGGAGGGATTAAGGGAGAATGGAAGGGGTTGGGGAGGGTGTTAAGGGGGTGTGGAAGGAGGTGGAAGGGGGTGGGGGTGGACAGGAGGGGGGGTGGTCCTGCTCGCCCCGTTAATTGCGTTTTCCTCGCCCCGTTAATGATGTCGAACGTTTGTCGGAGGAAGGGGTGGGAGGGATTAAGGGAGAAGGGAAGGGGTTGGGGAGGGTGTTAAGGGGGCGTGGAAGCGGGTGGAAGGGGGTGGGGGTGGACAGGAGGGGGTGGTGGTCCTGCTCGCCCCGTTAATTGCGTTTTCCTCGCCCCGTTAATGTTGTCGAACGTTTGTCGGAAATCTGCCCTATTCCGACCCTTCCAGCTGCTGTGAGACGCTGCCTTCTGAAAGACCCTACCTACTAGGCTTCTGTCCTGCGAGATCCTGTTAGATCTGTGAGACTTGCAATCTGTCATCTGTGAGACCCTTCCTTCTTTCGTGTGTGAGACCCTGCCTTCTGTCATAAGCGAGACCCTGTTAGATCTGTGAGACCTTGCAATGTGTCAAGTGCGAGACCCTCCTTCTTTCGCGTGTGAGACCTTGCCTTCTGTCATATGCGGGACCCTCTTCTGCCATATGTGAGACCCTACCTGTTGTCACATGTAAGACCTTGCTTTCTCTCACATGTGAAGTTTTGCCTTCTGTCCTATGTGCGACCCTGCCTTCTATGAGACCCAGCCTTCTTTCACATGTTGGGCCTTGCCTTCAGTCAGGCCCTGCAGTCTGTGAGAGCCTGCGTTTCTGTGAGGCCTTCCCTCCTGTGCCTTCTCTGAGACCTTGCCTTTGTTCATAATGTTAGACCCTCTGTGAGACCTTGCTTTCTGTGAGACCTTGCATTCTGTGAGGCTTTGCCTTCTGTGAGGCCCGGCCTTCTGTGAGAGTTAGACCTCAGTTCAACATGTGACACCTTGTGTTCTGTAAAACCATGCCTTTGTTTCAGGTGTGAAACCATGCCTTGTGCGAGTCCCTGCTGTGAGTGACACACCTTGCTTTCTGTGAAGTTTTGCCCTCTGTGAGACTTTGCCTTCTGTGAGACCATGGCTTCTGTGAGGCCTTGCCCTCTGTGAGGCCCTGGCTTCTGTGAGGCTTTGCCTTCTGTGAGACCCTGACTTGGTTTATTTTATGATACCCTGCCGTTTGTGAGACCCTGCCTTTGTTTAAGGGCGAGACCCTGTCTTCTGTGGGGCCCTGCCTTTCTGTGAGACCCTGCCGTCTGTTCAATTTATATCGAAAAATGTGCTACATGTCTATAGATTGTACCTTGCTCCTAGTATAGACCAAATATAAAATCCTAAACTTCAGTTATGGAAGAATGTCCAGGGCCGGTCCTGTCATTCTGCCGCCAACCAGAAAGTGAGCAAGAGCAGTTCGCGTGTGGGAGCAGTAGAGGAGAGCAACAGTTCGGGAGCGTGTGATTTCACGGGTGAAAACACCTTCAGGTGCGAGGTCCTTTATTTCCCTGTCTATTGTGTGAGACCCTGCATTGCGTCATCTGTGATACGCATGCCTGTAGCCAAACTAGGCTTGGCACCCCCTGCCTTCTGTGAGACCCTGCCATTGTGTAATGGGCGGGACCCTGTCTTCTGTGAAGCCCTGCCTTTCTGTGAGACCCTCTGTGAGACTTGCTTCTGTGAGACCATAGGCCTTGCCTTCTGTGGGACCCTGGCTTCTGTGAGGCTTTGCCTTCTGTGAGGCCCTTCCTTCTGTGAGACCCTGACCTAATGGGCGAGACCCTGTCTTCTGTGAGGCCCTGCCTTTCTGTGAGACCCTGGAATTTATATCGAAAACTGTGCTACATATCTATAGATTGTACCTTGCTCCTTAAGACCAAATATAAAATCCTAAGCTTCAGTTATGGAAGAGTGTCCAGGGCCGGTCCTGTCATTCTGCCGCCAACCAGAAAGTGAGCAAGAGCAGTTCGCGTGTGGGAGCAGTAGAGGAGAGCAACCCTGCTAGTTTGCGGGAGCGTGACCCTGATTTCAGACGGGTGAAAACACCCCTGCCGTCCGTGAGACCCTGCCTTTGTTTAATGGGCGAGACCCTGTCTCCTGTGAAGCCCTGCCTTTCTGTGAGACCCTGCCTTCCTTGATGTGTGAGACCCTGACTTCTGTTCTAATTTATATCGAAAGCTACATATCTATAGATTGTATCTTGCTCCTATCATTGGCCAAATATAAAACCCTAAAACTTCAGTTTTGGAAGAATGTCCAGGGCCGGTCCTGTCATTCTGCCGCCAACCAGAAAGTGAGCAAGAGCAGTTCGCGTGTGGGAGCAGTAGAGGAGAGCAACAGTTCGGGAGCGTGTGATTTCACGGGTGAAAACACCTTCAGGTGCGAGGTCCTTTATTTCCCTGTCTATTGTGTGAGACCCTGCATTGCGTCATATGTGATACGCATGCCTGTAGCCAAACTAGGCTTGGCACCCCCTTCTGTGAGACCTGCCATTGTGTAATGGGCGGGACCCTGTCTTCTGTGAAGCCCTGCCTTTCTGTGAGACCCTCTGTGAGATCTTGCCTTCTGTGAGACCATGGCTTCTGTGAGGCCTTGCCTTCTGTGGGACCCTGGCTTCTGTGAGGCTTTGCCTTCTGTGAGGCCCTTCCTTCTGTGAGACCCTGACTTAGTTTATTTTATGATATCCTGCCTTCTGTGAGACCCTGCCTTTGTTTAATGGGCGAGACCCTGTCTTCTGTGAGGCCCTGCCTTTCTGTGAGACCCTGCCTTCCTTGATGTGTGAGACCCTGCCATCTGTTCTAATTTATATCGAAAACTGTGCTACATATCTATAGATTGTATCTTGCTCCTATCGAAGACCAAATATAAAATCCTAAGCTTCAGTTATGGAAGAGTGTCCAGGGCCGGTCCTGTCATTCTGCCGCCAACCAGAAAGTGAGCAAGAGCAGCTCGCGTGTGGGAGCAGTAGAGGAGAGCAACAGTTCGGGAGCGTGTGATTTCACGGGTGAAAACACCTTCAGGTGCGAGGTCCTTTATTTCCCTGTCTATTGTGTGAGACCCTGCATTGCGTCATATGTGATACGCATGCCTGTAGCCAAACTAGGCTTGGCACCCCCCTGCCTTCTGTGAGACCCTGCCTTTGTTTAGTGGGCGGGACCCTGTCTTCTGTGAAGCCCTGCCTTTCTGTGAGACCCTCTGTGAAGTCTTGCCTTCTGTGGGACCCTGGCTTCTGTGAGGCTTTGCCTTCTGTGAGACCCTTCCTTCTCTGAGACCCTGCCTTTGTTCATAATGTTGGACCCTCTGTGAGACTTGGCTTTCTGTGAGACCTTGCATTCTGTGAGGCCCTGCCTTCTGCGAGGCCCTTCCTTCTGTGAGAGTTAGGCCTCAGTTCAACATGTGACACCTTGTGTTCTGTGAAAACAGGCCTTTGTTTCAGATGTGAAACCATGCCTTGTGTGAGTCCCTGCTATGAGTGACACGCCTTGCTTTCTGTGAGACCTTGCCCTCTGTGAGACCTTGCCTTCTGTGAGATCCTGGCTTCTGTGACGCTTTGCCTTCTGCGAGGGGCCTTCCTTCTGTGCTGCCTTCTGTGAGACCCTGCCTTTGTTTAATGGGCGAGACCCTGTCTTCTGTGAAGTCCTGCCTTTCTGTGAGACCCTGCCTTCCTTGATGTGTGAGACCCTGCCATCTGTTCTAATTCATTTGAAGATATTTGAAGATGTTTGATGGGCGAGACCCTGCCCTACCTTGCCCTCTGTGAGACCATGCCATTTCAAGCTCGTTCATTTGAAGATGTTTTGACCTACAAGAAACAGGAGACCACTGCTGTCCTGATTCTCCTTTGAGAATCACATGTGATGGATCTGCCCACAGGCCACTGCTGTCCTGATTCTCCTTTGAGAATCACATGTGATGGATCTGCTTTGTACGAACCTGAGCCCTTGACATTGCAAACTCGTGCTGGATACCATCCAAGCGCACTGACTGAGAAGTTTGAGCCACAGTTCTCGCAAACTGTCAAATTCTCAAATTGTCATGTTTTTATGTCCCTTGTCATGTTGTCATATTTTTTCATTATCTTCCATTATTTTCCCTAATTTCCCATGTTTTCTCATATTTTTAAAGGGGTTTTTCTCACCCCATTTGGGTCTCACCCCCCAAACTTTTCAGTGAATCAGTATACCCTATTTTCAGTGTATCTGATACTGGTCTGCACATGGGGATTGGACATGATTTGACTTAACAATTATCAATCCACGTGAATTGTAGAACCCCCACCAAGCATCCATTCTTCAGCCTTTTCGGCCAGTGTTCCGACTTCATTAGCCAAAATCCACAAATCGCTGCAGCAGCAATCAGCCCATTTCTTGGTACCAAACTGGCAATGCCAACATAGCGGGCTTGGCTTCACTCTTTGCTTTGGCCTCCAGCGGTGACCAGCAGTGAGCTGGCATCTCTCAAGTCTGAGAGCTGTTCATCAGGGATTTTCCTGGACACTAAATGTCGCAAACAACCGGAAGTGTCACCAAAATGTCACATTACGTATCATTGCACGAAAGACACCTAAACGAGTCTTGGGGTCAGTTGCAAGCTGCGACCCGCAACGTACAAATCCCCGCAGCTTGTGCCTTTGGAGCAGCCTTTGCACTTGTCCTGACACATCATGACACATCAGACACCGAATCATCATCCCATCCATCCCATCCATCCCATCCATCCCATCCATCCCATCCATCCCATCCACAGAAATCCCAGCAGATTTCATCCACGCCTGGCAGTCTTCGCTGGGGTCGAAGCAGCAGGAGCTTTTTGGCTTTTTCGCTTGGGCGTCTCCTGCGTGAAACAAGGGTGAGATTAACTGTCTATCATGGCAGTCGACTGCAAAGTAGATCTATCTGAGAAACTCGGAGCTGTGGTTCATCTGGTCGAATCGTGGTTTATCTATGTGTGGTTTGGGTTTATCTGCTTCTGTGAGACTCAACAAAAAACCTTTTCTTAGGATACTGGCAATCAAGAAGCCCCACAGCACATTCGCCATTTTCCAATGGACACAGTGTCATCTCCAGCCGTGTCAATTCATACCGAGGTAACGACTCAAGATGTGGAACCTCATCATTCGTTTCCCCTTACCCTCTGGTAATTTAACATAGCTATTGAAAATGATGATTTATAGTGGATTTTCCCATTAAAAATGGTGATTTTCCATAGCTATGTTAGTTTACCAGAGGGTAGATATGGGGGGCCAGTGCTCCATTTTGTACCATCCCAAGGGGTACATCGGTTGGGGATTCCATCCCGTCCTTCTCATCACCACTGTTCTCATCGCCATCCTGCAGACAGAGCCATGCCGGAGAAAAAGTTAGCAGTGAAATTACTTGACATTACCATCTGGTTATTTAACATAGCCATGGAAAATTGCCCATTTATAGATGGCTTACCTGGGTTTACCTATTAAAAATGGTGATTTTCCATGGCTATGTTAAATAACCAGAGGGTAATTGAAATTAATTAAAATCAGTAAGTCTTGAAAATTCTTGAAATGAACCCAAGTTTGAAACCTGAAAAAAACCTTTAAAAAAACCTATCTGGTCTTGCTATGTCTTAGGCTGTTGGGCAACTTCACTGCAGTTGCGCCTCCAAGTCAATGTGCAGCTTGGTGAAGCAAACTGGACAGCCAACCTTGGTAGCGCTGATCCCAAATACCATGGAGGTCAAAATGTCAACGAAGTTCTCGGTCACAACACTTAGACTTTCCATGAAAATACACCACGTTCTTCCATGATGTGACATGTTTGTTCGTGCCTCCTGAGCGGAAGATTGATTCAGATTGCACATTCGTGTTGCAGCCTGGCAGCGCCACCAGACTTCAAGGTCGGCGCATCAGCGATGTAGGCACGGATGCATTCATCATGGAACACCTTATCGGGATTTATCGGCCACCAGGAGAACCTGGATGTGTCTGGGTCAATGTAAAAGCCTCCTGCGAAGATGTGCAAAGCAGCACAAAAAAATACATGGGATTATGCGGTTATCCAAAAATAAAAGCGCAATATACGAGTGTTCTCATGGGGTAAATCACAATCAACTGTTTAACAATGAACATTTAAGCAACATTTAACATATTGAATCAACATTTGACCAACATTAACCAACATTTAACCACCAATTTTTAATCCAGAAACATTTAACCCACAACTTTTGCTGGATCCACGGACAAAACGAAGCGCAACACTTAAGTTGCCGAGCCACATGTCCACATTTGGCCTTGTCAGAACTTGGAGTTTGACTGGGTTCAAGTTGGATCAATGGCGGATTGGAATGGCTAGGATATAAATAAATATAAGCAAATATAGACTAATATCAATAATTCATATAGCACATATATATATATATATATATTAATGGATATCCGGATGAGGATGGTGATATAGTTTCTGGGAGAATCATGGGGACATCATGGCCCTGCCTGACGCTTGACTTCCTCACCACCTTCGTTGACATCATCCTGGGATGCAGCTGTAGCCTTGAAAGGTATATTCTTATTACGTAACTGTCCTCGCTGTAGTTGTAATTTTGATATAGAAATATATATATGTATATATATATATTATAATAATAATAGTAATAGTAATAATAATAACAATGATAATAATAATATTATAATATAATAATATAATAATATAATAATATAATAATATAATAATGATATAATAATAATAATAGTAATAATAATAATAATATATCTCAAATATCGACAACATTAACAAAATATATTATATAACTTTAACATTTGGTTCAGGCACCTGCCTCTATCAATGTTTTGGCACACGTCCAATGTTGTCCTCGATGTTGTAAGTGATGTTGTGAATTTCTCGTTTTTTTTTCCACGTAAATTTTGATGTTTTAAATTTGGCGTTTTTTTTTCTCACGTAAATTTTGATGTTGTAAATTTGGCGTTTTTTTTTCTCACGTAAAATTTGATGTTGTAAATTTGGCGGTTTTTTTCTCACGTAAATTTTGATGTTGTAAATTTGGCGTTTTTTTTCTCACGTAAATTTTGATGTTGTAAATTTGGCGTTTTTTTTTCTCACGTAAATTTTGATGTTGTAAATTTGGTGTTTTTTTCTCACGTAAATTTTGATGTTGTAAATTTGGTGTTTTTTTTTCTCACGTAAATTTTGATGTTGTAAATTTGGTGTTTTTTTTTCTCACGTAAATTTTGATGTTGTAAATTTGGCGTTTTTTTTTTCTCACGTAAATTTTGATGTTGTAAATTTGGCGTTTTTTTTTTCTCACGTAAATTTTGATGTTGTAAATTTGGCGTTTTTTTTGCTCACGTAAATTTTGGTGTTGCAAATTTGGCGTTGTTTTTCTCATGTAAATATTGATGTTGTAAATTTGGCATATGTTTTTCTGATGTAAATTTTGATTTTGTAAATTTGGTGTTTTTTCCCGACGTAATTTTTTATGCTGTAAATTTGGCATTTTTGATTTATTATGATTATGAAGTTTTGATTCAGTATTCTGATAAGTGATAAGGTAGGTTAAAGTATGTGTTTTTGTCAGCCCACCAGTTGAAAGGTTATTAAGTTATCAATAAGTTATCCAGTTATCCATGTCAATGATGATAAAATTACATGTTTAAAAACTAAGTTCAAGTTAAGTTCAAAAAATATAGAAAAATATTTGAAAAAAAAACATTGTAAATTTCTGGTACATCCGAACGGTTCAGAACGGTTCAGGCGTATCAGTTTCTGATACATCCGAACGGTTCAGAACGGTTCAGGCGTCTCCGAACTATCCCGAACTATTCCGAACTAATCCGAACTCAGGCCTCCGATACATCCGAACGGTTCAGAACGGTTCAGGCGTATCAGGTTTTTGCCTTAGATTCTAAGCTTAAAAGTGGGCAATTTTTACAACATAACAAGTTGAAGATGCATGACTTGTAAACAAGTAAAGGTTTTAAGCTATGAGGTTTTAAGTTAATTAGTTAATTACAAATTATAAGAGGAAGAAAAGTTGTAAGACAAGTGATGTCAGTTGCAAGTTGTGAGTTGTAAATTGCCATAAGTCAAGGTACTTCAAGTAAAACTTCGGTGAAGAAAAGCATGTCTGAAAGTAACTTAGGCTGTGACACAAGTCGTGGCAGAATGTTTTCCCAAAGAACGGGGCTGGAAGAAACTTAGGCTAAATTTCACAATCTTCTGAAAAGTATATGTCACACCCAAACCCGTCTAAGGCAGGCAATCTTGTCACGTGAGCGGTCAGTGGTCCTCTGGGATCCATCCTGGGGGCAAGGATGAGGAAAACGAAGTGACACCTGAACCGTTCTGAACCGTTCGGATGTATTTCATATAGTTCGGGATAGTTCGGGATAGTTCGGGATAGTTCGGGACTGTGCCCATGTTAGGCGTTGGCCTCTATAATTTGCCTGTGTGTCACCACACATTTGCCCATAAGTTTTTTTTGTTTCCCCCCAAACTCCTTTTTGCTGCGCGTCAGTGTTCGTGGGTTAAGGCGGCAGCCGGCTCGGGACAGGGGGGTCTTCCCAGCGCGCGTCAGCAAGTAGGGTGGGGAGGGAAGGGGGGGGGCCGTCCATCGCCTCTTCTCCGTGGAGGGGTAGCTCCATGAGGCTGGCGGCGTGAGCCTCGAATTTTACCTGGTTTCAAAACGCATACAACCCACATACATACATACAGACATAGACAGGCATGCATGCATACATCCTGTTATATCTTTGCTTTATTGATCGGACCTGCCTTTCTCGCAGGTGAGTCTTGTCTTGTTACCTGCCGTTACCTACCAATTTTACTTGCCACAGCCTACCAGGATCTACCAGGTTTAAGGAAACAATTTAGTTCATCATTTATTCAGCATTATGTATTATGCAACACTCACACGCAGGAAGTGACTATGTGACAACGCAACCATGTACCAATGTGTGACAGTGACCTTTACACAATGGAAGAACCACAGCCACAAGCACGGTTATCACCAAGAACGGAACAACGAGAACAAGAACTGGAAAAACGAAGAAAAGAAGAAGAAGAAGAAGAAGAAGAAGAAGAGCAACAAGAACAACAACAACAAGAACAACAACAACAACAACCACGAGGACGACGACGACGACGACGACAACGGCAAAACCAACCAATGAAGGGCCAATGAAGGGACAAAAACAAGTTAAACACACCCACCAGATTCAATGCCAGCTGAGTTTCAAAAAACAAACCAAAACCCAAACTGTGAAATCAGGAGTGTGACAATACAAAAGAGAATTGACCCATCTCAACATCAAAAAAATCATTGCAATAACGACATGAACAAAAATGGGCGCGCATAGTAAATCATGACGCAAAAATCACAGGAAACAAAAAATACAACTCACAATGTCAGTCATGACTTGAAGCAAGAAAAGTTTGGGGTTGATAACATCAATCATGACATGAACAAGACTAAAAGTGGCGTTTACAAGATCCAAATTTATGTAAGAAAAAAGAATTTGGCTTTTGTACAGCGTCAAAATGTACGTTAGGAAAAAAAATGGCGTTTACAACGTCAAAATTTACGTAAACAAAAAAATCGGCGTTTACAACGTCAAAATTTACGTAAGACAAAAAAAATCGGCGTTTACAACGTCAAAATTTACGTAAGACAAAAAAAATCGGCGTTTACAACGTCAAAATTTACGTAAGAAAAAAAAATCGGCGTTTACAACGTCAAAATTTACGTAGGAAAAAAAAATTGGGGTTTACAACGTCACCGACAACGTCAACCAGAACGGTACACGTCAGCCGAAACACAGAGGGGCAATTATAGAGGAAGGTGCCTGAACCAATTTAACATATATAAATAAAACATGAATCCAATTGCAGATTGGACTTGCATCAACCGACATGATGCATAAACCATCACAACCCCTTCCGTCCTGGCAGAGTCCGCACACGTTCCCGGCATTCTCGGCCAACAAGGTCTTGCCTTGCGGCAGGCGGTGGGTGGCCTGTCCACCTCCATAGACAATGAGGTAGGGGTGATCACCGGCTCGTCTCAAGGAAGTCAGCAAGTCGAAGATGTGCGCATAGTTGTGCCTTAAGTGGCATTTTGGTTTGCCGATCCAAATGGTCCCAAGGTCCGGTGGTTTTTAAAGTTCAAGGGTCAAAATATGGTGGGTTCCTAAGATGAGGGGTACCCCAAAATGGATGGTTGGTTCATAATGTGTATATATATATATAGTATTGAAGAAACCGAATGCAGTCGGTTCAAGCAACGGCCATTTTCCGGTGCGATAGCGTAGCACAGTATGGCGTAAGGCCTATGGTTGTCGGCCAAATGCCAGCGGTCACAACATGCAATCAATGTTCAGGTCATGAGTTCCTTGCCATGCCGATGCAACTTCAGTTGGTCTTCTTCTTTTGTGGGAAGAGAACTCCTGAACACTGATACTAACACTGCTGCAGTCCTACCAAGCAGGGCATGAGGGTTCTGTGCTTCCCCATACTTCTCTGCTTCACCAAGGATTCGCCATTCAGATCGGCCGTCAGCGCTGTCAAATCGGCCATAGGTTGTTCTTAGGCAAAACTCCTTGGGGTCAAAACGTGCAGTCGGTGTCCTAAAAGACTTGGCCTGTTTGGCCACATTGATCACTACTCCATCCCTATGGTGCCAGCCAGGGCTACTGCTGAGCTGAGCAAGGTATGGAAAAATGGGTGACTTTTCACCAAGAAATTCCCCGCTCAGGCTCACATGCGCAGCTTCAGAATTCGCAGCAGCGCCACTTGAAGATCGCTTGCCCGTCTTCTGCTTTACAAAGTCCTGGTTGAAGACCACGCTCCATCGGCCACTCCTCAGGATGCGGTGCATGTGATCATTGTCCATGTCCTTGGTTCCACAGTCCACGAACATGTTTTCCGTCGCAGTCCAACGGAGCATAGTGTTGGGTTGGCTCAAGACATCTCTGAGCCATGCCACCGTGAAAGCCAAAGACTTCTGGGCACCATATGTCGGTGTGTCTGAAGTTCCCTTGTCATAGACATCCTTCGCATCTGTCACCAGCGCCAAAGGAATCGCGCAAATTGCATCCAGTGCTCGACGCTGATTCATCGGGTAGCCCAAGAAATTCGCATAGAGGCCACGGCAGAAAATTCCAACATCCGCTGCTTCTTCTGTTCCCTGCAATTCAGCTGAATACGTGGATCTGCAGACTCGTGGAAGACGATGGCTCCTTGCATCTATCACAGTGAAGGATCCCTCCTTACCTGAAAGCAAATCACGGTCTGCCAGCAAAACAAAATATGCACTCTGACTGTAAACCTTTTCAGAAATGGTGCCATCTGCTGCTCCAAGCTTGGTCACGTTGCCCAAAGAAGCATCGGTCACCACCAAAATTCCACTTCCTTCAAGGTCAAGCGGATTGAAATTCAAGGCAAAGTCTGAATGCTGCTTGAACTGCTTCAGCAACACGTTGGCCTTCATTAAGGTCTTGACCAGAGGTGCCTCTCCTTGAAGTGTAGAGAGCATAAATCCCATGTCAAAACGCAGTTGAGCAACCAACCATTGCAATGATCCCAGTACTGCTCGCAATTGACGGCGTTCAGGTTCATTCAAAGGGGAATCTGGCTGAGCACGGCGGTGTGCAGGAATGCTCACCGGCTTCAGATTCTCATGGTATTCTTTCATCGTGATTTGGATTGAACCATCTGCCAATTGCTCAATCTTCTTGCCGCAGTAGGTGAACTTGTCATAAGAAATTGATCCATAGCCCAATTCCTTGCCCAGAGAAAGCATCTTCTCCTGCGCAATTAAATCACCACCAAGCAGCAAGTCATCCACGTGGGACAGGATGATTCCATGCAGGTGCTTTCGGTCATCAGACCATAGAAGCCAGCAGGCAAAGTCCATGTGACTGCGCTCCCAACCTTGTGCAATGAGGGCTTTGTTCAATCTCAGATACCACATGCGTGGTGCATCACTCAAACCAAAGACGCCCTTCTTCACACGCACAAGATCTGGAAAAGGAAGTTGTGGTTCGTTGGGATTGCGGACATTCTCCATGTAAAGCTCTCGATCTTCGTCAAAGAACTCGCCCTTCATAAAGGCAGACTTGATATCCGCAGCCAACAAACGCCAAGCTCGTTTTCTACCCATCTTCTTCACATTGAAGCTTGCAGTGAGAGTCAGCAAAAAGTGTTGGCTCACTCTCGATGCTGTGGGAGCATCCTTTCTCAAAGTGTAGGCCAGTAGGTCCTTAAATCCAGGGACCACAATTCTGGCTCGAGCTCGTAGTGGAAGAGGATTCGCCGTTGTTCTCAAAGGCTCGTTCTTGTCTGTGAACACGTAGCGAGGGGTCAAGATTTTGTGCTTCTCGTTGTTCCTGGCCAATCGCTGTCGGATGGCAACGCATTCATCTTTGGACAAAATGTCCACCGCATTGTTGTCAGGCCAGATCTGCCAAGCATCTTTGGCAGCTTCTGTGAAAGCCTTCTTGGCAGCTTCATCCATGGCGTTCCAAAAGAACTCCTGTCTCCCAGCCTGAACAGCAGCTATCTCATGTTCGTCAGCATGAAGTTCAACTTGGCCCTTAGGCCACATCATTCCAAGACGTTCATGTAGATGCCATTCTCCTTTGGACGGCAATGGCCAACGTCCATCCCAGGATCCATGGTCATCCACACGGCATTCCAGGGGCTGCTGTCTGTCGATACAAGCTTGATGATACAGGTGCACCAGAGGGTGCACATGAGGATCTCCAAGACTGGCGAGCACGTCTTCCTTGGAGACCACATTGCAGTCGAACAACTTTCCTCCATCAGACACAGGGACTGGAGTTTCCGCTTCACCAGCTTGTAAGGATTCGGCAGACACTTCAGGTGCTCGTTTGACACCAGCAGGGGCAGCTAGTCGCTGAGCCTTTTCAATCGGTCCTTCAAGAACACTTCTTGTGGAAGCTGGCAAGCTCGATGCTCTCTTCCGTGAAATTGAAGGCAGCGCATCCCCTGAGACAATGCTGCCTCGCCTTGAAGAAACTGCTGAGGGCACAGTAGAATCAGGAACAGGAACGGCGGCAGCTTGCATCAGAGCTCCTGCAAGTTCTTGGGGCTGTATAGGAGGCAAATCTCCTCCATGTGAAGCATCAGCTGCAACCACTCCAGGTGTTCCGGGAGCAATGGAAGGCAAGAAGGCAGGAGTGCTGGGATTGACAACAGATTGATCCGGCACCTCACCCGTTCGAAGTCCATCGTTGGGTTCAGGCGGCGCACTGGCAAATGCAGCTCCACGCAAAGTCAAATCGTGTTGAGCCGCTTCAACAACTTCATCAATTGCTTCACGCCAATTCTCAGCTGCTATCTGTTCCATTGAAGATGCCAATCTCACGTGCTCCAGGGCGCATTTTGTAAGTTGCCCCTTGTAGGACATGAAGGCTGATGATGTCCCCTCCAAGGCCACTAACAATGCCGGCCCATGCCATCTTTTCAAGGTGAGCTTTTTCTTGCTGGGGTTCGTCTTGTTGTTGTATCGCAGGGGCCTGTAAAAGTAGCAAATGCTTCCAGGCTCAGGCACATTCTCAATGGTGGGATTGCGAGACCTAGCCAATTCGGCTCTGGGAAGCCCTTTGGAAAAATGTAGGCGTGTGATCGCCACTTTTGCCACCTCCCTCATAGCCAATTGTCTAGCCAAAGAAGGTTTTGATTCCAGAAGGCCGTGTTCTGAAAGACGTGTTTGGATTCCCCCCAGCACATCACCAATCATTCTAGGCTGTTTCCCAATAGCCGCCTGGTATGGTGAAGTTCCAAGCTCGTTGATGTCGCCATTGTAGGCAGCAACACTTTCGGAAAGTGCAGACTGCATTTCTTCTGCACCGCAAACTCCTTGAGAAGCAATTACTGCAGACAGAATTGTTTTGAGGATTCCACCGCTTCTCTCAGCAACTCCGTTTTGCCAGGGAGCTTGCACTGCAATGTGATGCAAAAGAACTGAATGTGCACTTGCCCATTCTTCCATTTCCCAGCTAACAAATTCACGACCCTGATCTGCAACCATCACCCTAGGTGGGCCAAAAACAGCCAGCCATCTATCCAAAAACTTGATCACAGACTTGGTAGATTTGTCGGGCAAAACCTCGGCCAGTTGAAAACGCGTTGCAAAATCAGTGCCATGTGCCATGTAAAACCTGGTCTCCCTCACGTCCTCAACCTCAATGAGATCAACATGCAACTGATCACCCATATCTTTCGGCAAAGGCAAGGACGCAGGTCTTCTAGCTCTGGGCGGTCTCTGCTCTTGGCATACGGCGCACTTCAGTTGTTTGGCAGCCAGAATGGCCTCAGAAGGCGCTCCAGCAATTGCAAGAGCTCGCGCCAAGCGCTTCCCAGATCGATGACCAGTGTTCTGGTGCAGCCTCAAAACGGCTGCTCGGACTCCGGCTGGAATCGCAACAGTCTTGCCGTCCTTCTCGTCCGGCTCATCCACATCTGAACCATCTTCATTGCCTTGAGGATTCAAAAATCCAGCACCCTCGAAGGCCAATTCCTCCTCCGCATCATCATCAGCTCCATCCACTGCAAAGACCTCACGCACTGCAAAATCGCTATCAAATTGTCTCTCCAGGCCCCTTACCAAGGCACGAGCCAAGGGCTTCGGGTAGATGCCCGCACGGGCAGTCACCTTGGAGCCACCAAGAACTGGAGCGTGGAAATGGTCGCGCCTGCAAACATGTCCTTCCAATTCCAAGTTGACCTTTGAGCTTGATGTTGCAATGCGAGTGGGCTTCTTGTGAAGGAAGCCTTCAATGTTGCGCAGGTTGAAACGGCACTGATCAAAATTGGAAACGTAGATCTCGAACTCCTCAAGGAACTTCTGCATGGCGGGTTCACTCCAAGCGCCGCTGGGCTTGGGGTTTTCAAGAATGCAATGCCGTCCACCACGCATCTGAAGTTCAGCAACCTCAATTGCAAAGTCCATGAGAACTCGACCTTCTTGAAGTCGAACTGCATGGCGTTCAGGATGTGTTTGATTGAACCGCTGCAACGGACTAAACGGTCCACATGGAAAAGCCAGCACCACACAGTAAGGCTTCTCTTCTCGGATCTTTTTCAACGCAGCTTCACGATGAGATGGAATGAGAAAGTTCCAGCCTGTATCAAGGCTGAGTGGGTCCCCAACTTGATGGCCACGACGCACAGCTTCCTTGGTCACGTTCTGAGAGGTAGTGAACACTTCCGTCAGAAATGGTTTGAGGTCATTCTTTGGGAGCTCTGCATCGTCAGGCACTAGCACATTCTTTGAAACTTTGGCATTCTCAGGCAACTGCACATTCTTTGAAGCTTTGGCATTCTCAGGCATCAACACATTCTTTGAAACCTGGGCATTTTCCAAAACCTCGTTGGAGTCGCCAAGTGCATAGGACGAATGAGCGAGGTTCAAGGGTTGGATAAAGATCTCATCAGTCACAAAGCTCTTCATCTCATCTTCAAAATCAGCAATCAAAGCTTGGTGAATCTTGCGAGGGCCCCATGATGTGCGGAGACGCTCTGTTTCATGCCGATTCCAAGCTTGTGCAATCATCTGAGCTTGGCCTTTCTTGACAGTCTGGTTGATGGTAAACTCATTGATCAGGCCAGGCTCTAGTCGTCGTCGCTGATCTCGATTCCCTCCATCTCCAGCTGTTGACGATCGCTGGTTCCATATTTCCTTGCCAATCTTTCCTCCGCACAAGCCTCTTGAGCATGACGCATCTCTTCCTCCGTCAGCTCCATCTCCATTGGCTCTGATTTCACATCCATGGCCGTCAGGTCGACGGAAATTGGCACTGCTCCTGTAGGAACCATGTCTCGTAGTTGCTGAAGTTCTTGCGCCATTCTTTGCATCTGATCCCACATCTCTGCTTGGCGGTCGGTGATCTGGGTCAGAGGCCTGCTTTCTGCAGACATTGATGAGGCGCTCGCATCTCGAGCTGCACTTTTGGGAATGGCCCCTTTCGGCTTGGCTGCTGATTTGACTGCCACAGGAGGCTGTGGCTTGCTCTTCAGGATTTCCACCATCGGACGGACCTTGGTCTTGATGTTGTCCACAGTGTCCTTTTCGTCCACCTCCACGTGCAGCAAGGCAGCCAGCTTCAGGAGGTCTCTTCTCAAGGTTGGCAACCCTCCTTTTGGTCCAATCAAAGTTCGGGCCTCTTGTTCTCTCTTGGCCGAAGACCCGGCCTTCTGAGCGGCTTCCAGCGCTTCCGCCTGAGCAGCATTCTTCAGGCGCTTGGAGAGCCCCTTGAGAGCCATCCCTTCCAGCATGCCGTCCAACATTGGGTCCTCGCAAAACGCCGTCTGAAGTCCAAGGCGATTGCGAAGGTGTACACATTCTCCCAAGTTGGCCATGGTGAACAGGTTCTGGGCCAGTGCCTTCTGGAAGTGCCTTGCGGGGAACGCCTTGCCCTGCACTTGGCTCTTGCATTGTGTGATCCATTTTTCCACTGAGGCCGTGGCTGGATACGGCAAGGGCAGCCAGCGCAAGAAAGGCTTTTGCAAAACCCACAGAAGAACGCCCCTTGCGGCCCAGAGAGCCCTTTCCTTGAGGCGCATAACGAATCGGCGCCATCTTCCCACTTGCTTTCGCACTGGCTGTGCGTCCATCACTTTTCACCGTCAGAGCAGAGGATCTCGAAGGGCTGGAAGATTTCCTGGTAGGAGAGGATGTTGACGTCAGCGCCAACTTCAAAGAAGGAGAGCGCATAGTTGGTGCTTGAGCCATGCGCATTGAAGTTCCAGTCGTCATGACTGTGCATACCAAATTTCCAACTTGCAAACTCTTCTCTGTCAACATGTGGTCATGCGGAGAAACCTCATGCGCCTGTGAACCTTTCAAACGAAAAAATTGAGACAGCCACTGCTTTGCACTCATCTGCAGCTCAACGACTTGATCTGGACCTAGTTTCCTCCATCTGTGATCCCCCACCGCAGGCCAGCTTGAAGGCACCAAGGGCAGAAGGTAATGACCTGCAGAAAGTTGTTTGAGTGCAATGGGATGCCCATCCAAATGTTCACAACGCATCTCACGACGCAAAAATGAAATATCAGCTCCAACTGCTTCCAAAAAATCTCTTCCAAGTATAAAAGTCCAAGAGAAGGTACATCTACCAGAGAAACCCAGAAGCAAATGACTTGGCCCCCGATGACGGTTGGCAGTCGCCATCGTTCCAGCGAGATCTTCGTCCCACCGTTGCCAAACCTGAACGTTTCATGCTCAGTCTGAGATTTCACCAAATTTTGAACATCACTGGGAGCACTTCTAAGACATTGCAAGTAGCCACGAAGCCAGTCTGGTCCCGTGCATGTGCGATTGCAAGCTGAATCGAGTGCTCCAACCAATCTTTTGTCAGCAGTGAGGCCAACGACAGCCACGTCCACCTCTTTGGGCTTGTTGTGAGACGCCTCCAAAGCCACAGCCAAGGAATGAGACAAAGGTCGCACAGCCACCGTCAAGATTTCATGAGCTCCATCTTCAACTGCAGTTTCATCCACCTGGTGCTCTGTATTCATGGTTTCTGCTATCTGGACTTGTTTTGGCTTTCGGCCAAGTTTCATTCCAGGCTTTTTGCATTCAGCGTCTCCTGCCCAGTGTCCTGCCAAGCCGCAATCGAAACAATTGCTTTTCTGCTTCTTGGACTGGTGGTCCTTTCTCTTTCCATTGGCAAGTGCAGTACGGCCGTAACCACGGTCACGACGAACCTCTGCAAGCTTCGTACGAGCTTCTTTCATAGTGACAAGGGCTTCGGCTGCTGTTTCAACCGTGTTTTCTACCTCAGCAAGGGTATCTGGGTCTATCCCCAGCTCAGCAGCATCGTCAAGTTCAGCAGCAAGGGCTTCAGCCTCACATTTCAAGACCTCTTCAAGATCTTGGCCACCCGCATCATCATCTCCATCCGCTTCATCCTGAGGGTCATCAGCAACCTCAGGGTCTTCAGCCTCAGAAACCATCACATGCTTCTGACCAGGTGCAAACTTCCGAAACGGTTGCACAGATCTTTGGGACGTCGCAGATGACGCGGAAGACCTGAATGTCCTCTGAGCAGAGCTAGCTGTAGAAGGTGCATAGGAAGGAGGTCTGCTGCCAGTTGCAGTTTGATTCAGGAAACGGTTCAGCAAGGGAGACCTTTGACCAGTATCAGCCATTCCAGTCTTTCGCATGAGGGGGTCTTGGAAATGAAGGTCTTTGAATAACCTTAACACCTCACGCTCCGTCTCCTCATAGCCCTCAGCTCCGGCCAATGCCGTTTCCAACAACTGCAACCTGAGAGAGTCAAGGCCAAGCTTTTGCTTGTAAAACCATCCAATCTCACCAGGGGGCAGCGTGACACCTTCGGCACGCAAATCTGCCAGCATAGTCCTAAAACGTGTGCTGAACTCTGAAATCCTTTCACCTCCACGACGCTTCAAGTCAATGTAGAAAAGGTTGCGCAGTTCTCCACGCTTGTCCAAGGTCGTGCGTCCATTGATGCCCTCTAGAGCTTTCATCAGCTTTTTCACACCTGACAGCGGGTCTTCAGGAGTTATCACAATCTCACCTTGTCCATCTACTGGGTCTGGTCCCCTGACTTCTTTCTGGTAAGCCAGCTCGTCAGGGGTGAACTCTTCTCCTCTCTGTCTCACCACACCGCTCTGGCGTAAAAGCCATCTTGCAGCCAGGTTGTACTTCTTCGTTGATTCAAGGTCCAAAGCGGACTGCCACCACATCATCTCTCTCTGGAAACTTCGCCAGGTCTGAGGTGACCCGTCCCACGTCGGAACCTTGCTCCAAGCTCCGCCATTTTGGTCTTTCTCCTCGGACATCTTGCCTTAGACAGGGTCGAAGGAGTCCTCCGCAATCTCGGAGATGAAACACGAATTGCAAAAAAAGGATCGCAAAAAAGGTTTGAATTCGTCCCCCAATCCACACAGTCGGAGACGCGTGCCAGCCAACAATGAAAATCAGGAGAAGGATCGTATCTTAGCTCTTTGGGATCGTTGCAAGGAGGTCCGCAAGGATCACCGGTCACAATCACAAGAACCTAGACAAAATCCACCGTGCAAAAACCTAAAGCAGCAGCAGGAGTGCGGCGCAGCTGGATCAGGCAGGCTCCGGTGCCACTGAAGAAACCGAATGCAGTCGGTTCAAGCAACGGCCATTTTCCGGTGCGATAGCGTAGCACAGTATGGCGTAAGGCCTATGGTTGTCGGCCAAATGCCAGCGGTCACAACATGCAATCAATGTTCAGGTCATGAGTTCCTTGCCATGCCGATGCAACTTCAAGTATAATGCAACATCTATTAAAATGGATGATTTGGGGGTGCCCCCATTTTAGGAAACCTCCAAATGGAAAATGAGATGTGTCTCTGGAAAGCTTATCATGTCGATGTTACACAAAGGTTCACTTGGTCCCATATGTCCTGCAGAGGATGCTCCCACCCTCTCTAGGCCAGAAGAAGACAATCCTACAGCCGCAGCCGCCCAGATGCAGAACTGTTCCAGAGTGAACGAATGTGTCAAACTTCACCTCAAAGTTCCACAATCTCTGACTTCCACTGATTCTGAGCATCACAGTCCCAATACAAACTACTTGCTTCTAGCTATATCTATCCATGTATTTATCTGAGTATCTGTCCATCTGTCCGTCCGTCCTTCCATCCACGCATCTAGACACTTCACTACTTCTGTAGATTCCTGAAATGCAATTGACAGGCTCCCGATTGCTGCCAAGAGGCGCAAGACCTTGGCTACCCGTTCCCTCAACCAGATAGCAAGCTCCACTAGTCAGGAAAACAACAAAACACAGGTGAGAAAGGCACAGCACACCGCTGCAGCCATGCGACTGCATGTAGATACTCGAGTAGAAGTCTGTCTCCTTTGGAGGAGGTGGCCACTCCCAAGGCTAGGATAAAACGGTTCAAGTCTGTCCACCTCAAAGATGAAGGATCATCTGATGATCTCTAAGGTCTCAAATTTCCCAGAAATTGATAAGTAAATACAAGTAATTGGTTCATCCTTTGTTGCTAGCATGGCTGTTGACTGGGCTCTAACTTGGGCTCCACATGTAAGCCCAGCTCAACCGATCTCAACCACGTGTTGCTCCTGCTTGGAGAGCTTGTCCTTTCTGATGCACACCTGCGAAGAAACAGCAACTGGCCCTGTGACTTTGACTCAGAGATTGGCCAAAGAGACATGCCCAATCCAGTCCGGTTTGAAGCTATGGCTCAAAAATGGTGTGGCAATGGACCACAATCTTAACTAATCTGCTTTACTCTTCAGCACTTAACCATCCAATTTGAAACCATCCAAGTTGGCAATGCCCACATTATCCCACATGTACCCCATCTTCAACCAACATGGAAAATGGCTCATCTTCCCCGTGCCCTCCCGTTGCGCTTTTTGGAACCGTGGCCTTGATCGGTGGCAGCTGCAGATCTGCCTTGCGCTCTTCTTTGGTGCGTCGCAACATGCACTTTTGCAGAATGTCCTTAGTTGATTATGTGTATTATGTTGATATTATGTAGTATCTATTAGTTTATTATGTAGTATCTATGTGTATTAGATATCATAAAATGTCCTTGAGCCATGACGCCGAAAAAAAAGGCGACACAGGCTGTGCCAATGTTGTTGGCTTTTGGAATTTTTGGAGCAAACTCACACGACCGAAAAACCATTACAGCTTACCATTTTGCGAACAAAATGGAGACTTCACAGCTTTTCTCGCTGATTTGCACAACCAAAAATTCGCCCAGCAGAAACTCAAGCAATCTGGCCAAAAGGCTTGGCGAAGCTTCTGGAAGCCAACCTTGCCAGCACCCATATATCCATATTTGATGATGGGATTGGACCTCAGTGGCAGTTCTGCGGCGTGCCTTTTACGGGGGTTTTCCTGGGAATGTTGCCATGATGTCCAGTTGATCAGGGATAGGTCCATGAACTGCCAAACCAGCAACGAGCACTAATTGGTTCAGGAAGCAGCACTGAAGCTTTAACCAACATCCCACCCCCGTAATGCTGGGACTCTAGCACATCCTTCTTGAAGCTTGAGTAGTGCCTCATTTGCCACAAACACTGCAGGAGAAGGGAAGTGAAAAGCTCCTCTGAACGATATGCCCCATGTTTAACATTGATGCTGCGAAGTTTGCAAATTCTCAAGACTTGTCTATGTAATCTAAACATCTCACTCACTCAAATAGACTTGGCAAATGGCTGCTAGAGGAATAAAATGAGCAGGGTGTGGAATGAATCCGGAAAATGGTGGCGGCTCTCCTCTTCATCATTCAAGCTTGAGCACTACTCTCCCCATGTTCCCCCTGTGGTAGGAACTTCGATAATGGTCCAAGGCACATAAATCGCACGTGGCCACAGTTGGGACAGTAGCGATCACGCATGAAGCAGGCGCATTCGCACTTGCATCCCTGAAGCAACCATGACAGGTGTCAAGAAATTTGGAGATGAAACTGTCAGGCTATTTGCTTGTCCTTCACAGTCCTCTTCCCCACCTGCTTTTTGCAATAGTAGAATGCATATGGTCGAACGCGGAGGAAGCCTCGGAGTTTTCTTTTGGTTGCCTCGAACTACAATGCCAGGCAATTCCACTCATGGCCTCCACAAATCTCAAAGAAAATCAGCAAAGAAAAGCAACTCACCTCCTGCCCTAACATCATAACATCTACTTCTGTGCTCCTTATATCTCCTTATGGACATCTCTCAACAGCGGCTGGCTTCGTGTTTCACAACATTTCTGACAGGATACGGATCAAAGAATACAGCTCACCCACGCGATTCTGCAAAGGTGTTCCAGTCAAGCACCACCTCAACCAGCTATAACAGGCTCAGGAGGTTGGGTGGACCATACGTCCCACTGTAGAAGAAAGATCTAGAATCCACAAAGTTGTTCAAAATGTTCAAATTCAGAATGGTGGCAAAGCATTCCAAAACCTTCATGTCTTTGCCAGCCGAGGATGATGTGAATTTCTTGCCTGTTTTGTTTATATAAATCAAATGCGGTCAAGTATCTTGTAGCCCTTTTGCGTCTGCAGAGCATAAGCTGCCAGTGCAGTGCTATTGGTTCGGCCCTTGATGCGATGCGCCTGCAGAGCTTCATGCTGTCAGGAGCTCAATTGTGGCGATCCCAAACATCGCATTGCTTGGGTTACTCTGAATATGGGGTATACGATGGGTATACAGTATACTGGAAAACCATGGAAAACCTATGAAACGGCCTTCAATCGTTGAAAAAAAAATCGGAAAATATGAAATGCATTGAAATGTGTTTCTTTACCCTAACATGTTCAATAAACAACCACTGAAATCCTAAAAGGGTCCAAACGTGGCCCCAACATTCAGGTCACAACAGCCACGCGTGGCTTCCGTGCGGCCGCAACGTGCCGCAACTCATCTGCCTCATCCAAAATCACCCGCGCCCACTGAATGGTGTGCAAAGGCGAGTCGGTGAGATCCAGTTGGGCCCCTTCGAAGGTCTCCTTAGCTGGGATAACCATGGAATACCATGGATACCCTTTCTGCCGCAGCCCTTCTGCTGGGGATCTGCTGGGGGCCCTGGGGCATCTTGGAGGATTTTTTCAACCAAAACGGATGGTTAATGAATGCGGTCCACAGCCATTGTCGACTTCGCCTTGCCAGCCTGGATGTCTTGGCTGCGACTTTGGGATAAGCTCACCATGCCAGTTTGTCATTCATACACAAGCATACATAGTGCAATCCATCCATCAATCATTGACCTTCAATGACATCAATGACATTCATGAAAGTTATGATCATAATTCCTCCTTCCCAGCTGACACTCATTTCAACGCGCTGCCTTTTGGTTGACCGTGCATGACCCGTAGCCAAGACCTCCACCAGAGCTGCGACATTGAAACCCAAGGGCCCATCGCCCCGCAGATCCGCCAAATGCTCAGGTTCTTGATCTGTCACGCCCATATCTCTGCCCAGCACCGTCATAGCCGCACTGGCACCTGACAGAACTGCTCCATGGGTACATTGCGCCCCATCATCTCCAGGGATAGCACCTTCTCCAGCAAAAAGCAAACGGCCCTCGCTGCGCATGTAGATGTCTCGGTCCTCTTCAGAGGCCAGGACATCTTGGAACTCAGTGTAGGCTCCCAGTGCAAAGGGATCCAAGGACCAACGTGTGACCTTCCAAAGTGGCGGAAAAGAGATCAAGTCCTGGTCTGTGGCAAACATGGCACGTAGCCCTTTCACCACCTCAAGAACCACTTCTTCGTCCTTCAAGTGTTGATGTGCTTCCCACTGGGCATCGCCCCAAATGTGACAAAGAAGCTGACCACTACGACCATATTTGTGAAGGTTCAGGAAGTGAAATCGAGCATCAGTTGTTTCGAACTGGAGAGCTGCCCCCTGTGGATTCAACTTCTTGCAAACGAAGGGATCCATGGCTGTCCATCGTAAAAGGACCTTCTCATGGGTGCAAGCACCGCACTGAGGAATTGAAAGCCTTTTAATGGCCATGAGTTTCTCCAAAGGTAAAGGTGGCTGAAATTTGATCTGACTCTCAGGATGAAGCTCTGCTAAAACTCCCGAAGGCACTGTCACTATGCCAAAGCGGGCACAGAAGGAGTTGCCCGACAGCAAGGTCATCTTGACGAAACTGTCATCTTGCACCACCTGCTTGACTGGATCATTTAGATGTATCTCTACATGTTCTGCCAGGCAATCGATGAAGGTCCGGAAACCTCCACCCAGCAACAAACGATCTTCCATGTCATCTTCAGGCTCTTGAACCACAGCAGCGTGGGCACCCACTGGAAGGCTTTGAATGACTTCGAATTTCCTTTGCCACAAGCGTAACATGCCCTCCTTGAGACCCTCCTCACTGTGTGGCCAGTGCCCATCCTGAAATACTTGGGTGGCGCGCCTTGGTGAGTTGTGCATCACCATCATGGTCGGTGGCATGCGCGAGCATGGAGCCACATACCCAAAATGGCGACCTCGAATTTTGTAGAGTAGTTCCCTTTCCCTTGACGTCAAAGTGGCCGACTTGCGCCGTTTGGCTGCCATTCGTCTCTGCAAGACGTCTTGCAGGGCATGCTCAAAAAGCACCTCAGCTGTGGGATTGGCTCGGTCAGCCTCCCGTGCCAGGACAGCCATGCCGTAGGTGACTTGCTGCAACAGAAGCGTCGCATCCAGAATTTCCTCCATAGGAATCTCCTCTCCAGTGGTGCAGTCGTGCCATTCTGCCACTTCCACAGATTCCCAGCCGCCATATTGGCAGCCAAAATCGCCAGCAGCTATCGCGCTTGGGATCCCCAAACGAGCTGCGAGGAGGAACAAGGGGTGCTGCATGTTGCAGCCATGGAGATAGTTGCATCCCTCCTCAACCACCTCTGGAGACAAACCGTTGCCCTCCAGCTGGATGGAATTTGCACGTCCACCCAACCTGCCTCGTGCCTCAAGCACCAGAGCCTTAATGCCATAGACCCGCAAAAGCCGAGCAGCGGTTAGACCAGCCAATCCCGCACCAATTATCAGAACATCTGCATCGTAATTCATGAAGCACAAGAATGGCAAAGCATGGCGCCGCTGCGTTGCATAGTTTTGAAAGGATTTATCAGTTGTTTTCTGTCGATTTCTTGCTGACGTGTTGGAAGCATGTCGGAAGCATGTTGTAGTCTAGGAGATAGCCTGTCCGGCATTCGAAGTGGCAGAATGGGCTGGTGCATCGCATACGCTTGGTCGCTTTTGGGTGCCCACTCCAGTATTTCTTTGGACAGTGCTGCAGCAGTTGATTTTTCTGCTTACCTGAATGCTAAATGGGTCTTGAGCAGAACTCAATCACATTTTTTCACCATGATTTGCAGTGAAAGCCTCTGGTACTTCTTGCCCTGTGGCCCTGCCAAGAGTGTTTCAAAAGATAGGGTAACAATATTTTGTACCAACAGTGGCTGCATCACATCTCCTACGTCCTGCGTCCATTGTCTATAGAATCCATTTACATGATGGTCCGCCACCACTCTCCCCCTTCTTATACAGGCCAAGTCGCGTAATCAGCCTTAGATTTGGATCAATAACCCGTGGGGGAGAGGGGTCTATGCATCTCCGACGCAGCATTACTTGTTTCCTCCTTCGATGGAACTCCTGAACAGAAGTTGGTATGAGATCACACACCGAAAATGATTTTATGCAGGCAAAACACATATGGATCCCCTCCCTCTTCCATCTCTTCTCGCTTGCGCTTGCCTGCACGCAGCTATGAGAATGCGAAAATGAGGTAATTTTGGAAAACGGGGTTTCGTGGACCCTTACAGGACTTTAATTTCGCAGAGCCCTCGTTGATGAAGCACCAAAGCATGTCAAGACATGTGGGGAAGTGATTTTCTACGAGAGATTCCAGAGTTTTTGCCATTCATCAAGACGTGATCCAATTCATATCAATTGTATTCAAGAGTTATCAATTCATGTTCTTCTGGGCAAACAATAAATCCATTTATATCCTGTAAGTTACCATAAAAAATCCATAAAATATCCAAAAATAACCATAAATATCCATTAAAAATCCATAAAATATCCATAAATATCCATTAAATATCCATTAAAAATCCATTAAATATTCTTTAAAGATCCACTAAAGATCCATTAAAGATCCATTAAAGATCCATTAAAGATCCATTAAATATCCATTAAAGATCCATTAAAGATCCATTAAAGAACCATTAAAGATCCATTAAAGATCCATTAAAGATCCATAAAATATCAATAAATATCCATTAAAGATCCATTAAAGATCCATTAAAGAACCATTAAAGAACCATAAAAGATCCATAAAATATCCATCCATTAAATATCCATTAGATATCCATTAAAGATCCATTAAATATCCATAAAGATCTAAAAAATATCCATAAAATATCCATAAATATCCATTAAAGATCCATTAAAGATCCATTAAAGATCCATTAAAGATCCATAAAATATCCATATATCCATTAAAGATCCATTAAAGATCCATTAAAGATCCATAAAATATCCATAAAATATCCACTAAAGCTCCATTAAAGATCCATTAAAGATCCATTAAATATCCATAAAGATCTAAAAAATATCCATTAAATACCCAAAAATATCCATAAATACCCATAAATATCCATAAAGGACCGTAAATATCCATTAAATATCCATAAATATCCATTAAATACCCATTAGATATCCATTAAAGATCCATTAAATATCCATAAAGATCTAAAAAATATCCATTAAATACCCAAAAATATCCATAAATACCCATAAATATCCATAAAGGACCGTAAATATCCATTAAATATCCATAAATATCCATTAAATACCCATTAGATATCCATTAAAGATCCATTAAATATCCATAAAGATCTAAAAAATATCCATTAAATACCCAAAAAAATCCATAAATATCTATTAAATATCCATAAAAGATCCATTAAAGATCCATTAAAGATCCATTTAATATCCATAAATATCCATAAATATCAATAAATATCCAAAAATACCCATAAATATCCATTAAAGATCCATTAAATATCCATTAAATATCCATAAATATCCATAAATATCCATAAATATCGATAAATACCCATAAATATCCATAGAGGTCAATTAAATATCCATTAAATATCCATAAAAATCCATGAATATCCATAAATATCCATAAAAATCCATAAATATCCATAATTACCCATAAATACCCATAAATACCCATTAAATATCCATAAATATCCATTAAATACCCATTAAAGATCCATTAAAGATCCATTAAAGATCCATAAATATCAATTGATGTGTTCATGTGTCTCCCCTGCCATTTTTCGGACCGCACCGCCTCGCGAGGACGAGCCGCTCGCTTCAGCTCCGCGGCTCGCTACCGTGCGCGCCATGCCGGAGGCCGCGCTGGCGGCAGCCTGTGGCGTGGCAGAAATCTCTGGGCCACCAACCATTCAATGGATTGGTTTAAGGGAAAATTTACAGGAAACCATGGTTTTTATCATCAAATATAGGGCTTTCCTGTAAATTTTCCCATCATCCAATTCTATGAACCATTCAGAAAATGGGGACGGAACATACGGACAAATGATGGACAAATGATGGAAAAATGATGGAAAACTGATGGACAAATGATGAACAATTGAAAATAACATGATACTTTACTACAGTTTGTTCTTGTGTTATTTTTTACTTGACAAGCTGCAAATCGTCCTTGAGTAATCGGGAAATGTTTCAAACAGGACGAGTCCAGGAGGAGCCTTCTTTCCTTTGCCCTTGCTCTCGGCTGCTTCGGCGGCATCTCTGACAGCTTTTGCAGCTTTCAGCTCCTCGGAATGAGGATCTTTCGAGCATGGCTCAGTTCAGATTGAATCAGGAAAACCCTGGCAGCCTTAAATCATTGTACAGATCATACAACATAAGATGACCTGAACACCAACCTCATTGCCAAATTGCATCAAATTGCCATCCACTTGCGACAGAGGTGCTGTGTCGAAGGAGCCCAAATATTTGCCCTCAGGGGCGTCGAGGGGAGGAAAAATGACTTCAGATCCCCTGGATGTACATTCCAGCTACTAAGTAGGTAAAAAAAATAGAACCAACTATATGGAGGTTTCCTAAAATAGGGGTACCCCAAATGGATAATTTACAATGGATAATCCTACGAAAATGGATGATTTGGGGGTACCCGTACTTTAGGAAACCTCCATATGAGCCGCTGTCATCGTTCTTTGTCTCCACCTGGAATATCTGCCAAGCCACCTGATAGCTGGCTTGCCACTTGCCAGAGGATTTCAAGGGAGAAACGCCTTGATACCTCGCAAGCGTCGCTTGCGACACAGCTGCGCCAAATGAGCTGCACGCATCACAAGGCAACTACTAAATGCTTCAAAACGAAAACAGGTGAGCAGTATTCAAAACTCCAAACCCTGTCATTCCATTGTACTTGCTTCATGTTAGTTATTAGGGATTCCCATAATGGATTCTGATCATCATACAGGGTATGTCAAAAGCTGTCCAGGCCCGGAAGTCGCACTTGGAGGCCGCTGTTGAGCCTTTTCGGAGAAGCAAGGGCCTTTGAGATGCTGGGAGGACGGAGGACATGATGGATATCTTGTATTATCGCGTGCCATGATCTGCAGAAATCTCCAGTAATATCCAGTAATCTGACCAACACACAAAAAGAAAAACCGAGGTACATTCGCTTGCCCGCTTTGCCAGGCTCTGCAGTTTTCATCTTGGAACTTTTGCCCACGGTCTTGTTCGCGCTTGCAGCTTTAGCCTCTGGACACGTGGACTGGAAATGGAAAACTGCTCCACAGGAAAACGTTGAGTCGACCCAGACTCTCTGGGATGTAACCCAATTTTTTTGAGACGGAAAATCAAGCAATCAAACTGCCAAAAGGTAAGGGCAAAGCAAGTTTGTGAGTTGACCGACCTCAAGGTGCTACTTTTGCTCTTATTGGTCGGGTCATCCTCTGTGTTGCATACAGGGGTCCTAAAAGGATAGAAAAGACATCGCCATTTTGACGCTTAAGGTGATTTCACGAAGCTGTGAAATTTGTTTCCCCATGTCTAGATCTTGTCCCCATTAAAATTCGGCGATTTTCCATAGCAATCACTGACGCCACTGTCCCGCCTTGGCCTTGGCCTTGGCAGATGTCAGAAGCTTCATGGCGAGGGATACCTCTGTCATGCCGAAAATGGTGGACATTCATCCTTTATCCTTCATCCTTCATCATCTTTCACCTATACAATATGATTACCATTTACTTACCAATTGCATCCAATTGCCATATAATAGTGATATCCGCCGACCCCTGCCTAGCCTTGGCCTACGCGGGGCGGCGCCTGGGATCACCGTAGGTGTGCGGCATGGGCTGTGGCTCCACCAGTGCCAGCTTTGGCTGCCAAGGGCTGCAGCTTCCGTTTTTTGCCAATGGTTGCGAAATTGGTGCAGCTTCAGCGGCAGACGCCCAAGTAGGACCGCAATGGGTCCCGCAAAGCTGTTTCTATCGGCTTTCGAAACTGCTACGTCGCACGTTTTAGCAGCCCTTACAACGCTCCGCTGCACCTTTTGAAGGCCGCCAACCAGGGCCGAAGGATGGTGCCAAGATGTGCCAAGTCAAGCCCGCAAGCACTATGGACCCCTCTGCAAGCACCATGGCCCAAGTACACTGCCCTTAGGCCCTGCAAACTGTTTCACTTGGGTTTCGAAACTGCTGCGTGGCACATTTCAAGCACCCTTTGAAAGCCTCAAAAGCTCAAAAAACCCTCCGCTGCAGCTTTCGAAAGCTACGAACCAGGGCCGTTGCCCGCCTCTGCAAGCACCTCATGGCACGTTCTCTACAGCTTTCAAAGGCAGCCCCGGCCGAAGTACGCTGCCAAAACACTGCAAGGTTTTCCAAACCCTTTCAAACCAAGCTTCAAACCATCCGCTGCAGCTTTCGAAGTCTTGTCTATACGGCACCATGGTACCTCCTAGGCCCCGCAACCTGTTTCTATGGGGTTTCGAAACTGCTACGTGGCACGTTTTAAGCACCGTTTAAAAGCATCAAAAGCTTAAAACCCTGCATTGCAGCTTTTGAGACTGTAGGCCCCGCAAACTGTTTCTATTGGGTTTCGAAACTGCTACGTGGCACGTTTTAAGCGCCCTTTAAAAGCCTCAAAAGCTTGAAACTCTGCGCTGCAGCTTTTGAGCCTGTAGGCCCCACAAACTGTTGCTATTGGGTTTCGAAACTGCTACGTGGCACGTTTTAGGCACCCTTTAAAAGCCTCAAAAGCTTAAAACTATCGCTGCAGCTTTTGAGCCCCTAGGCCCCGCAAACTGTTTCTATTCGGTTTCGAAACCGCTACGTGGCACATTTAAAAGCCTCAAAAGCTCAAAACCCTCCGCTGCAGCTTCCGAAGGCTACGAACCAAGGCCGTGGCCCGCCTCTGCAAGCACCTCATGGCATGTCCTTTGCAGCTTTCGAAGGCAGCCCCGGCCAAACACTGTTCAGCTGCAGGCGCCCAAGTAGGGCCGCAATATTTCTAATGATATTTCCCTAGCCAGATTTTTCCTTAGGCCATCTGGGAATGAGTCCTGCTACCAACAATAATCTATGGTGAGGTTCAAGTGGGGTTGCTTTAATTTACAAAGTACCCAGAATCCATTCCAAGTTCTTGTAAACCACGGGAAAGATGATGATAAACCTCTGGATATAGGGGTCCCCCATTTTCACGGAACTCAACCTCATCTGTGACTGAACAGATCAGGAGATGTTCCAATGTCTTGTCATTTATTCAGAAAAGAAGGGTTCCTGAGTGACCTAAGGACATGCAGTGCACACCACGGACCCTACAATTTATAAAGGAAGGTCAAAGCCAGGTCACACCTAGCCTTCTGTCGCAGATTACCCTAAAAGGGGGGTCGGCTGCACCAGGGCGTTAGCCCATTTATAACTGTGATACAATGGTGATGTAATGGTGATCTAATGGTTACGACCGAACATTCCTTTACAGCCCAGTGCGCCGAGCACGGCCCCCGCCTTCTTCACCGGCTCCTCTGCTTTGCTAGTCGTGCCGCGCACGGCGAAATCCATGAGCCGATCCACCAGCTCGGGCTTGCGGCCCGTGGAATCCAAACCTACAAAAGCTGCTGGACGAACGGGGAAAAATTGGGGAAGTGCGCAATGCATACCTGATTTGTTTGAAAATTTTCGAAAATAACTGTGCTTTGTTGGTGCCTGAATTGAGGTGAAAATGGAATGCAAACTCCTACAAGAAGTTTGCTGTTGCTGTCACGTGCATGTCACCAGCCTTTCTTGTCACAGAGCTCAACCAACTCCTTCGGCTCAAGTGTTTAAAGGGGAAGAACCCTGCTTCACTATATGTCAACGACATCGACATTGACGAGAATGCAAATCTTGGGAAATGGTTGCTTCGGAAAGCATTTTTGTCTTTAACCAGTGAGACTATGTACATTGGTATGAACTAGGTCTTCGAAATGTCGTGAAGAATCATGAGCCAAAATGAACCAAGTACCACAAGCATCACATGTCCAAGAACTGGGGTCATCACTGAGTGCGAGTAACTGGGGCCTCAAATCCACGAACATAATTGGGTAAAACAGGAAGTAGAAACATGCAGCGACCACAGCCACAAGGGTGCAACTGTGGTTGTAAGCCTGTCAACAATGTTGTAACATAGCTGCAAAACAAGGCGTTACCCTCCAGCAAATTGAATCTGATATGTCAAAATCACCATTCAAAATCATTCAAATAGATTTCACAGATTTCATCGATTTCATTGATTTCATAGATCCACAAACCTCTGTTTTCCATGGGTTTCCCATGTGTTCATCCTTTTCAACGGTCAAAGATCAGCACCCCGGGCCCATTTCCGCCCTCCTTGCGGTCCAACAGTGCCAGACGCTCCCGGCTGAGCACATCATCTCCACCCTGCGCTGGATGGTGATGACGATCAGACGATGGTTGTAATGATGCTATTTATAAAAGAAAATCTGGTGTGATGATGATATATTACGATGATGATGATGATGATGATGCTGATGATGATGATGATGATGCTGATGATGATGATGCTGCTGATGATGATGATGATGATGCTGGTGGTGGTGGTTTTGATGATGATGATGATGATGCTGATGATGATGATGATGATGATGATGATTGTGGTGATGATGATGATGATGATGATGATGATGATGGTGATGGTGATGATGATGATGATGATGATGATGATGATGATGATGATGATGATGGTGATGATGATGATGATGATGATGAAGAGGATTATGATGATGATGATGATGATGATGATGATGATGGTGATGATTGTGGTGATGATGGATGATGGTGGTGATGGATGATGGTGATGATGGTGATGATGGTGGTGATGATGATGATGATGATGATAATGGTGGTGGTGGTGGTGGCGGTGGCGGTGGTTGTGGTGGTGGTGGCGGTGGTGCTGATGGTGATGGTGATGGTGATGGTGATGGTGATGGTGATGGTGATGGTGATGGTGATGATGATGATGATGATGATGATGATGACGAAGACAGACAATGATGGTGGTGGTGGTTGGTGGTGGGTGGTGGGTGGGGGTGGGGGAGTGGGGGTGTGGGGTGGGTGGTGGGTGGGTGGGGGTTGGGGGTGGTGGGGGGTGGTGGGGGGGTGGGTGGGTGGGTGGAGGTGGGGTGGTTAGTGGTGGGGGTGGTGGGTGGTGGGTGGTTGGGTGGTTGGGTGTTGTGGGGTGGGTGGTGGGTTGTTGGTGTGTGGGTGGTGGGGTGGTTGGCGTGGTGGTGGAGGGTGGTTGGGTTGGTTGGTGGTTGGTGGTGGTGTGGGTGGTTGGGTGGTGGGGGGTGGGTGGTGTGGGGTTGGGTTGGGTGGGTGGGTGGGTGGGTGGTGGGTGGGTGGTTGAGTGGGTGGTGGTGGTGGGTTGGTGATGATGGTGATGATGGTGATGATGATGATGATGATGATGATGATGAGGATGAGATGATTAGATGCTGGTGGTGATGCTGGTGGTGATGCTGGTGGTGATGCTGGTGGTGATGCTGGTGGTGATGCTGGTGGTGATGCTGGTGATGGTGATGCTGGTGGCGATGGTGATGGTGATGCTGGTGGTGATGGTGGTGATGGTGGTGATGGTGGTGATGGTGGTGATGGTGATTGTCATGATGGTGATTGTCATACTGGTGGTAGAAGAACATGACAGGCAGACTTTGGCGTCGCGGTGGTTTTGGTCTCACTTCGCTATGCAGTCCAAACTCGCCCGCCCAAAGTCGACAATGCGTTGACTTGAGGATGCCCGTGTCCAAATTGTGTAGCTGCAAAACATGAGAATTGCTGTGCGTTTCATGAAGTCTGCCATGACAAATCATGGATAATCTTCAAAACTATAATATCATTATCCAAGAACTTAAACTAGCAGGAGATCAGTTCTTCCAGCGATCCGGCGAGGGCTGCCTTGGATGAGGAACTTGAGGAGCTGCCCTGAACCACGGAACATAGCACAAGAATGAAGAGAAGACAATAAACATGGTACCGTACCGCATATGTATAATCATATACAAAAATTGTATGTATGTATGTATGTATGTATGTATGTATGTATGTATGTATGTATGTATGTATGTATGTATGTATGTATGTATGTATGTATGTATGTATGTATGTATGTATGTATGTATGTATGTATGTATGTATGTTTACTATTTGTTTACTTTATTTCTGATACACTTTAAGATGGATAAAGATGGCGGGCCTGTGGCCATTCTACTGGGTCCACCCCGACATCGGCACATCGAGCCTTCAACCTCTCCTGGGTTTCCTTCATGACCTGAGGAAAATCATTTAAGTGGGAGGATTCCCAAAAAAACAAATAGGGGGGATAATCCCATATATGATTGTGGTATATGGGATGTGGATTATCCCCCCTATTATGATTGTGATATATTGTGATGATTCCTGCCACTTATAATTAATGGGATATAGTCTGCCTCATTGGGATGATTCCCCCCACCAGCCATGGTCTACTGTGACGTCGCAGTGAGGTTGCTATATTTCAGCCAGATTAGTCCGTTGTCACTATCAGTTGGTTCAGACAACCCTTTTTCACATAATGTTTACAAGTACAAGTACTTCCCAATTTCAGCTTGGTGGAAGGAAGATCGTAAGTCGCCCATATCACTGGCACACTCCACCATGTTTCAGCAAGGAGCATTCCAGTAGCCCTTGGACTTGACAGTCACACCAGCTTGCTTCATGAAGTCACCTTGGTGACACTTAGCCACCCAAAATGATGGTTCCAACATGCTCCAACCCTCCGAAGACAACAAACTGTAGCCGTAGCCGCAGCCGTAGCCAAGCTGCGGTAGATGTTGGTGATGGTGGGTGGCGCATCAGTGGAAGATGAAGCTTTTGAATTGCCAATGCCCATGGATTGCATGGCCTTTTTGGCTGCGGTCTTCCTTAGCTGGCGATCAAAATCTGATCACTTCTCAGCTTTGATGGCTTTAGCTTTAAAATATACAGTAATGGCTCCAATAATCCGTGGGAACTGACTCTGACTCTCTCTCTCTGACTTTAAAGAATATATTGTGAGAACATAATCATTGAAGACCTTGGGAGATTTGTAGATGCAAAAAACTTCCAGTCATCAACTGAAAGCTCGCAACCAATCCTGTTCTCCCTCCAAGCGTCTGCTGTTTTTTGGTCTTCTCCGCATTCGGGCCGCAGAAGTAGCGCTGGTGGAAGGTGAGTTTCCTGGGCCGGCGTCAGGATTCGATCGCGGTAATCCACGTGGAGTACAAGGGAAATTGATGGAAAATGATGGAACATGATGAAAAGATGTGGGAAAAAGTGGGAAAATGGCCAACATATGGCCAACTTCGTCCAAAGTCGGCAATCCCAAACTCTTCCAGAAAACTCAGATTTTAAGTGATGGAAAAACTGCACACCGAGGTGCTCTGGCATGAACAGTTTTCCGCAGTACTTACCTTGGTTTTGCACATCGGCCGAGAAACCGTTTCCATCGATGATTCATGATGATTCCACTGGTTTGAAGGATCGAAGATATCAAAATTCATTTCAATTCCGATCTTCAGTGGTTCCAGATACAGCAGTAGTTTGCCCGACTTTAGCTTGCCGTTGGAACAGTTGTGACATGTTGTGACATCAGTGAAAAGTCCATGTTTTTTTCATGTGTTTCCATGTGTATTTCCACGATTTTCCACGTTTCTCCATGTTTTACCTATCCCTTTCAAGTCCCTTTCAGCAAGCACCAAAGTACACTTGACTCGGTGCTTGTGCGCCTCGCGTCGGTAGTCCGACCTCGAGTGAAATCAGACAAATGAATAAAAATGGCAATGATCAACCCATTTTAATCCCCATCAAAATATAATCATTGGAATATGTTTTTAATGGGTATATCTCGGTATATCAAAAATCATCCATGGGGATGATGAAAAATTCATGAACATATAATCAGAATATCCTATAATTGCCATCTACTCAGTCCGAATCATGGAGATCATGGGGATGTTCGATGACTCATCCCATCGTGCCATGACTCCCTGCCATGGCTTCCCATCGTGGCACATCGTGGCACATCGTGGCCAAGCGGCTCCAAGGTTTGGTACGTTGTGATCACCACGTCACCTCCAAGGCTTCTCCAGAAATTTTACCAAATCATCACCATTTTTCTAAGGGGGTGCTATGAACCATCACCAAAATGCTAGGTTTATGGATGTTTATGGCATTGGGTTGCCCACAGTGAACAAAGGTCTGGGCATTGGGGTGCAAAAGTGCGACTCTCACCTGCCGAAACCATCTGGAACCAATGGATCGCTGCCGTCCAAGCGACACTTCTTGAACTGCGTTGCCACTCGTCCCTTCTCACTGCCATGGTAGACCAAAGTCTTGAGAGTGCCTGTGTTTCAGCTCCCCAAATTGGAGCGGATCAGAAATGCATCACTGAAAAATGTCAATGCTTGTGGAAAGAAAGGGCAACCTTATTCTGGGAAAGTATGACAGCTTTGCAAGAATCACTTACTGACGGGCCTTTCTTGGTGAACTTCTCCTGAGCGAAATCCGTGCGCGACTATCAATGGCCCGGCTGACGTTTGATGGCCGCCGCACAGCCCCAGATATAGTGTGTATATAGTGTGTAAAACAATAACAACTACTCAAGAATCGGAGTACTCAATTTTACGATGCAAAACTAGTGTTATCCCAGATCCACTATCATAACCACATCTTATTTCCAGAATTAGCCCATCTTCAAGACATCCACGGGGTCCAAGGCGCAATTTCTTTCATCCATTGGTTCACCGCTGCCATGGGACACACCACCAGGGCTGGTCCCTTGACAGGTCGAGCCAATAGCAGGCTGATGGCCTGCAACGATGCGCAGCTTTCTGTGTATCTCTACTGTTCATTTCTGAGATGTCATGAGAATCTATCGCATATTCATCGTCCATCTATCTGTTTATTGTTCATCCACACAAGTTAAAATGGGACATAGCAGTCATCGTCATCGTCATCATCATCATCATAATAATAATAATAATCATCATCATCATCATTTATGTCTAGTATTACTTAGGTGGCTTAGTTATGTGGCATCAGCATGAATCATGCTCTCGATTTCCAGCCATTCGTTGTGCGACCAGCCTGGATGGTCTTTCCCATGCCCATCTCATCCGCCAAAATGCCACCCCTCACACTACTCTCCTCCTGCTGACACATCCAAGCCAGACCTGCCACAGATCTCGAACGAGTTCGTCAAGGGGCGATACCAGGGGGGTCCCTAAAAGAGTCATATTGATGGAAAAGCTGACGATGAACCATCGAATTTTGGGGGTAGAATGAGGCAGTGCTCGTGTTGAAAATCAATTCCATGTCTAAAGTGGTCTCTCAAGCTAGTCAGCTTCTCCAAAACCTCGCTTTCCGGCCTTCTTTCTGGAATGGTAGCATAGGAACTGCCATGTCCTGCATCACAATCTGGAGACCAACTCCAAGCTCAGTGAAACCGTGCCTTCTTCTAAGTTCCCACAAACCTTGATCGTAAGTCGAACAAAACCAGTGTTGGTATCCCATACTGCCCAGAACTGGACCGGACCTGCGACTAACTGGGCTTATCACTTTGCCGTTGGGGTTTCAAACTGGGCACTGGTAGGTTTATCACTGAAGAAACCCACCAACTGGGCTCATGAAAGGCCCATAGCAGAAAATCACAGGACGGTCATCGGCCATCGGCCTTGAAATCCTGTGGAAACAACGGGCACTGCGCTCCTTGGGCACCGGCACTTCAGGAAGACTCTTGGTGTCGACACCTACTGAGCCACTGGAGTACTCCGCCGTGGCGTTGGCACCTGGCGTGGTTGGTTGGATATGCTTGGATTATCTTAATCCAAGAATCTTGGGGGATTTAATTTTTCTGGTTTGTTGATGTTTGCTGGATGTTTATTGGTTGGTTTGCTGGTTGTTGCTCGCTTGTTATTTGTTGCTTGTAGACCTCTTCGCTTCGTTTCTGGACATATTTCTACGCCCCTTTCTGGTTCCTGGAAGACCTCCCAACATCAAAATATTACAATCACGCCGTCGAAATGTGTCCAACTAGACACTGTAGTGAATAATTCCCTCCCATAAACTCATGGATGTTCACTGAAACGGAATATATATATATATATATAATGTGTAGTGTAATCCATCGGCGGAAAGAAAAACACAAGTTATGAAGTCAAGTTGTGACCCACCCCAGCCATTCTTTTCAGATCTTTGCAGCGTCTAGAGGCCTTCTTTGTTTGCCTTTGCCATGCGCCCTTCGCTGCGCATCTCCTGGGGTGAAAAAATGGATAACACTCAGCTCTGGGGCTTCAAACACATCAGCTTCTCTCTTTTCTTTGTACATTTCCTAGATGTGAACCATCTTTAGATATTGCATAAATCTGATTTGATCCGATATTACATACACACTTGATGATATTTGATATGCTCAGAAACCAATGAAGTTCTCAGAGGGCCATCATTCACACGCCAGTGTACCCACCTTCCAGAGGCGAGCTCGCTCAGTGTTGTTCAACGCTTCATATCCATAGATTTTCTTGCGCAGATCTTTTTCCTGCAATGAAAGTTGTTTTTTGCGGAAAGAGACTGTGCCATACTGTGCCATTAATTATTTCTAGGCAATAAATACATATTAAATTATATGATATTATATGCCCAATGATTCTGACATCTTAAAACCCCAACTGCATGTACCAATCAATTTGAGAGATCAAGGCTCTTCCGATGCAATGTCTTCCATTCAGTGTGAACAACTTTGCTTCACTACATGCCACGAAAAAAGTGGAGTCAGTCCGATGTTCAAGTGCTTTGGCAGAACACGCAACATACAGCTATCCTTGATGCCGAAGACGGAAGATTCGTAGCACTCAGGGTGGAGATACAGCGTGTAGCAATCATCGGCTTGCCTCGTCAGATTTTCTGTGCACAGCATCCCTGTCAAATTCAGGACTTTCGGACTTCTAAAAATATGACAACCATCGAATCGACAAATCTATGACCTATGATCCGACGAATCAGAGCTGCACAGAGCTGAAGCGGCGCCTCCAACGGTAAGGATATCCCAAGCGCAGCTCACCTTTCCTGGTGAGTTGAACGACACAGACGGGCATCTAAGTATGGTACCATTTTAAGCATCCAATAGCTAATCTCAAGATATCAACATATATCAACTAAGTACATCTAAGTCATCTCAGTATATCCAACATTATCCAACATTATCCAACATTATCCAACATTATCCAACATTATCCAACATTATCCAACCATTGGATGGTTCATATATCCAACTGCTCATCTTCATGGTACGATGGCCAGGCCGCTGAATGTCTTCACCACAGCGGCGACATCGAGCACGGCCAGTGGGGGCATACTGACCTTGCACGGCGGCTCTGCAATCCATCTCCCCATATGTTTATACAGTGAATGTTGGGGGAATTCCAATATATTCCAAGTCTCTAAATGTAATGGAATATATAATAATATATATGGGGATGGAATTGGAATATGATATGTTTACATATGTTGTTAAATAATATATTGCATGGAATATCAATATGTATGTGCGTATATATGTAAATAATTGAATATGTATATAATCCCTGTTGTGATTGTAATGGATTGGACTTGGAATACTGACCGTGGAACAAGAATGCTATAGGAATTGCATAGGATCTATTCACTGTATTTCACTTTGGGGGCGCGAATAAAGAAGAATTGATATGAAGGGGGGTGAGATGCCTGATTTGAAAAAAGTGTTTAAATCAGTATGCCAAGGGACAATACATGACGCACGAGAACAAGCTCTCCTTTTCCTTCTTCGAAAGCCCACTAAAATCTTCTTGACCTTCGCTGAAACAATCAGCGGCCAGGAACATCCAGGAACATCCAGGAACATCCAGGAACATCCAGGAACATCCAGGAATAAGACACCTCTCATCATTTTGCAGCCTTAAAATCATGATTCTGGAAAGTCATTTTGAGCCAAAATGTGTTTGTTTGCCCATCTGACTCTATCTTATCACCAAACTGGCAAGACTGGAACACCAAATCTTCCGAGGCTTGCGGCTTGCGGCCGCGGTGCTGTACCAACTCTTGCTCTCTGGATCGTACCATGCAGGGCTGACCGGCGTAGGTAAAAGGCTGCTCTTGCTGCTGCTGCTGCTGCCCTCCTGTGTCAGGAATTTGTCCAGCCTCAATGGCCGCGTTGCGGTTGCAAACCACTATATCAATGGCCATTTCAGGAACCTACATTGGAGGTAACTACCATATATAAGGCCTGTATCAGGCCTAAATTTCAGGGAATATCCCCAGAAAATATGGTCTTATATGGTACTAACTTACCTCCATTTTAGGATCCTTTTTATTCCCATTGACTCACTGGGAAGACATCGGACGTCCAGAGGTCAGGTGCCGAGTCACTGGGCAAATTCACCCATGCCACTCAAAAGGGCTATCCTGGAGGCTTTTCATCTCGTGACTCAGGAAAAACCATGGGAAAAACCATGGGAAAAACCATGGTTGGATGGCAGTTTGCAGGGAACCCCCGACCAGAATGGTTAGATGATGTCATATGTCTTTAGGTATGATGGTGAAGGTATAGCCGACAGCTGTTGGGTTCTCATCACATCAACATGTGCAGTTGCCATGCCTAGACAAAGCCATGAACTATGAACATTGAAATTCAAGAAACGCAATATGATTCACGGGTATAGCCTATAATGCCTATAACCATCTACACATTCCAGCTTTGCAAATGAAAGGCAGACGTGCCTTCTTTGTTCACGAAAAAATTGCGGATCCAAATATGGATGGATCGTCACAGACTCAATCGCTTTGAGCCCAAATGGAAGCAGCTGTGGGGACAAAGTGTTCGTTGCGAGAAAAAAATGCACTGCTTTTGGCCAAATCCCAAGTCACCTTTGAATCAGAACAGAATTCATGCCTTTAAAGGCATCATAGAGATCCAGCAAATGCCACCCCAACACAAAACGAAGGACAATCAAGCTCTTGGGGCAAATCGAGTCTCGCCAAGAAAGACTGGCACCTTTTCAAGCCGCATGACGCTTGAACAAGCCTGAAGTTTCAGGCCTTTTTTGTGATGTTAACCAGGAAGGACCTGCACCCAACTCCACCATTCTCCACCATTCATGGTTCGTTGCAATCCCATTTAAACAAATCTTCAAAAATCCGCTTGACCGAGCTAGCTCTCTGACCCCCGATGAAAGCTCAGAAACGGAAGCATGTGGGATTATGTTGGATTGTCTGAGAATAGGCTATTCCAAAATCCAATGGTTTTGTTTCTCCAGTAAAACAACCATTTGGGGAGGGTCTACAGTATACCCCATGTTCACAGCCATGTTGACTGCAGCATCCTGGACGAGTCACGCCGAGCGCTAGCAACAACTCCGCTGTGAAAGCACAACTAGGATGAACTATAGGAACTAAGTTGAAGTAAGTTGAACTACTGTAGTTGTTGAACTAAGTTGCTATAGGGAAATATTCGGAAATGATCGGGAAATGATCTCTCCAGATGACATCGCCAGGTGCAGTGTCACGATGTGTCACGAACCAAGCATTGCTTCTTGGCTCTGGCCCTTTTCTCCATCCTTGAGGATCTGCTCCAATTTTTTCTGCTGCCTGACGAGACTGGCGAGAGTCACAGAAATCTCAGCAGTGCTATGCGCCATATTCTTAACTACTCATATGGTGAAATGCCAGTGGTGAACACTTTGAAAACACTGTGGACACATAAGGAATATATGGCAGTGTGTCAAAACCTTGTACCCCTGGTGAACATCAAAATAGCTGGTAAATGGATGTTCATCCCACTAAAAATGGTATTAATAATGGGTATTGATCCATACCCATATAAGGAATATATGTCCAGTATCAGTATCATCAGTATCCAGGTTTCAACTCCCACCTTTCAAGCACAGCGCCAACCAAACCATTGATTTTTAGCCCTTCTGGCACGCAGCCGTGAAAGGAAACTCAGTTCTGGCAGTTCTGGCACGCAGCCATCTAAGAAAACGGTCCTGAGGCGAAATCGCCTGATTTCACACGGTCCTTGCAACAGCTTGCAACATCTTCCAAGAAACTGCGCTGAACAGTTTGCAAAGACCAATTGCAGGTTGATTCCAGATTCATGGAGCTTCAACATTTGAGGCCCTGCCGATTTTGGCAATGCAATGAATGCTCCATTGCTGCTTTTTCCCAACAAAATGTTGCTGATGGAGATCCAATCACCTCTTGAGATCACATCCACTTGAGTCACTTTAGCAGCAACAGGCAAGCTGGATCAGAAAACCGAAGGCATTTGCCTCTCTTTTTCGAGGCTTGGTAAGAACGAAGCACCGAGTTCTTCCAGCAGTCGTTCCAGGCAATAGTATGGCGAACAGGGAACTTTGCCTTCCTTGTGAGCGTTTCCATATGCCTCGCCGCCCTGCTCTGTCCTTGGAAATTGATGTTGGAGTGACTCTGAAAAGCCCAAAAAATTGTAAGGGAGGACAACTTAAATGGCAGTGTGTCAAAACCTTGCACCCCTGGTGAACATCAAAATAGCTGGTAAATGGATGTTCATCCCACTAAAAATGGTATTAATAGGTATTGATCCATACCCAAATTGCAGACTCCACAGCCCCAAAGATTCTTCAACACCTTCATGGCCGGAAGATCCTCCTGATACGGTCAGTGGTTAGATTCGATGGGTTTTTCCGGTGCCAAGCCTTTGAAAACTTGGCGAATCAATGCTGCCAAGGTGCTGGGATGCCTGTGAAGCGGCCACAAAATCTTGGAAATGGTAAAAATCTCCCATTTGTATCCGCGTAATCATTTATATATATTATATTATATTATATATATATATGATTTTCCCATTGAAACCTTCATTTAGTTCGGGCATTTTCCAGCAAGCCATGTTTGACTACCAGTACCGGAGGGTATACCTTTCGGGCACCATGACTTTGATCTTCGCAGCTCAACAACCCATGCCTCTGCTCCATTAGCCGTCTCAGCCGGATCTTCGCGGTCTTCTGGTCCTCGCTCGCGCCTGGCAGGTTCCCCCCTGCCAAATGCTCAGCTGGAGATGTTTCGGTGATGAGGTTTGGGAAATGAACCAAGAAATTAATCACCATGCATTGGCTTACATCACTTGTGAATACTCGAGTAATTAATACTGTACTTGTGACATGTGCAGCACAACTCTAGTCACCCAAAATTCAGGCCTCAGCTGGTCCTGTCGTCGCCAGTAGGTTTGGAGATGTTTCTTGTGACTGTAGCTTTCCTCTACCATCCATCTGGGGGTCTCCTGCTCCGAGGCCTCCAAGACCTGCGTGATATCCTTGCAATGTCGGAAGTCGCCCTCGTGCTCATCCAACAACGTCACGGCAAATCCCTCCCTTCCGGCTCGCCCCGTTCGACCGATTCGGTGCACATATTCGCGGACTCCGTTCCTGCAGGGCTGGACATATCAATGGATTGGTTTAAGGGAAAATTTACAGGAAACCATAGATTTTCCCATTAAATTAATGGGGCTTTCCTGTAAAATTTCCCCTTAATCCAATCCATTGAACATATGGATGTTTCCTAAAATGGAAGTACCCCGAAATCATCCAAAATTGGACCATGACTTTGTGTTGAAACCAATGGTGACTTGGGGATCCCCCGTTTGAAGAAACCCCCATATTCTTGACATGAATTATTTGCTTGTTGGTTGTTGTTTGGTGATTGACATGACTCCTTGAAGCTCCTGTCTTGCCTTCTGATCTTGCAAGTATAGATTCTTAGATCATGAACTGTGACCGTCATGGCCTTGTTATACATTGTTTGTCTTTTTCATTTGAGCCATGGAAAAATCTCCTATTATCCCGTATCCTATGTATCCCATCCCATTTTACTAGGTGGTTAATGGTGGTTAGATGTGGTTAGCAACTATTCCTATTCTGGGATATAACAATCCCCAATAAGCCAGTCGGTAGAACCCCCAACCAATTGAATCGAGGTATTTTTAATGGCTCACTTTGGTCCACTAGAACGAGTAACAAGAGCCAGAACCCATGACAACGTTCAAGACCAAATGAGACCAGATTCCTGTGGTGTGGAAACTCGTAGAGGATCACGCACCTTGGCAACACTCAGCACAGCTCCATGAGTCTGCACTGTCACAAAGCAGGGCAAATCGCTGTGGAACTTTAAACAATCACCACAAAAATGACCAGACTTCTTGACAGCGAGTCTTGCAGGGTGCAGGCTCAGGTTTATCGTTGGACTTTTTGACACACGGATTGAAATCCGTTTCAGTGCTGACTCACTTTCTTTTGTCTGAAAATAAGCTGCACAAAAACTTACGTCATTTTTCCCATATGTTCCCCATTCAACTGGCTATAAAAACGGTACCAGTATACCCCCATTTTCAGACACCCCACATTTTGGTGCACCTGCAGGTTGTGAAATCGATTCCACGGCCTAGCATGTCGGTAGTCACCAGGATCAGCTTGTCCGTCCTTGATGAGACGAGAGACCCACAGCGGGCGAAAGGAAGGAAGTCCAAAGGAGGCTAAAAAAAACGTTGTGTATGTGTTTTAGTATATGTGTGTATCTTTGAGTGATTTCCTTCAGTCAGAATTTCTATCATTTCTCTCAAACATGTCCAGTTTTTTTGACCGCTTTCACAAGTTGAGTGCCTCAGAAATCAGAAATCATCCAGCGAGCGTCTTGTTTGGATCTGCAAAATCCATGACGATCCTGTTCCGGTCGCCTTAGAGCAGTGGTGCAGTGCCACGCGTCCAGTGGAACATCCAGCAGTTTCAACATGTGATCTGCGTCATGGTGTCAACCTGTGTCAACATGTGTCATATGTGTCATATGTGTCAACACATTCACCGTTGACTCCGTTGATTTACAATGATTTACATGAGTTTACCACCCTCCAGTGTCATCGAACATATCGAACATATCGAACATATCGAACATATCGAACATATCGAACATATCGAACATATCGAACATATCGAACATATCGAACATATCGAACATGGAAAATCGTGAACACTCCACCATTGGGACCATTGATGACCTTCCCATTTCTATCGGGTAGAGATTCCATTGAGGTGCCATGGCCCCCTGCCTTGCCAGGTGTCACCTGTGAGACCCACCACTGGATGGTCATTCTCCTTCAAGAGGTCCGTCAGGCGCGCCACCGTCTCCCTGGGACATGGGGGCAACCACTGGGCAAAGTACCAATGGAGCCACAAGGTTGGATTGAACCATCCACTTTTTTGGGCAACAAGTTTGACCCATAGACTGTTTAGAAGAGAAAAGATTGGAAGGGACAGACTGAACACTCTGGAAGCTAAGGCCGCTATCTTTTCCTGCGCTATCCAAAAGTAGTGAAATTAAGCTAGAGCCGCTGTAGATGCTAATATGGGACATCGTTATTAAATAACAATGGGTATAAACAGGATGGTTGGAAATCACAGATGTTCCAAACACACCTGAGATGTTATGTGTCAAAGAGACTTTAGACACAAACCAAACCCGACCCTGACCCAAAAGGAAGGGTAAACAAGGGGGGGGTTGGAAGCCCTGCATAGCCCACCCCCCCATCACCCCGCAGAGGGGATCAGGGAGAGGAGGGAGGGATGAGAAGATAGGATGGCTGCCTGGATGACTTGAGCCAAAATTGGCATAAGTCATCCAGCAGTCCAACCCATCTTTTCAAATCACATATAGACCCTACCCAACCAACCTACTCATATGTTAGAGTAAGAAAAGATTGGAAGGGACAGACTGAACACTCTGGAAGCTAAGGCCGCTATCTTTTCCTGCGCTATCCAAAAGTAGTGAAATTAAGCTAGAGCCGCTGTAGATGCTAATATGGGACATCGTTATTAAATAACAATGGGTATAAACAGGATGGTTGGAAATCACAGATGTTCCAAACACACCTGAGATGTTATGTGTCAAAGAGACTTTAGACACAAACCAAACCCACTGTTAGAGCTAAGTAGATTCACCCACTGTTAGCATCACCTATCGGCTTAGCTAGAGATTCTAGAAGTTCACCTGGACCCAGCAACGGTGGGAACGGGAACTCACGGATCAACCAATGCTGGGACAAAGTCCACTCGTCATTGGTGCCGTCACGGCTAAGGCCGTCAGCTGGATTAGACTCGGTGTCTATCCATTCAAACCAAATCCTAGTCTGCAAACGGGAAAACTGAAGGTGCGCTTGTTGCACCAGGGTCAAAACATCCGGTTCGGATGTGGAAGCCCGGATCAACGCGGCAGCAGCGGCCTCATTATCAATGAACCAAATGACGGACTTGGAGATCAAGGATGCTGCTTCTAGGATAGGGACGATGACAGCGGCAAGAGTCTCTCCAGGATAGATCTGCTGTTGACGTTGCTGCCACGTTTGGATGACCGAGTGGGGGACGACCGTCGTACCACCCAAAGGCCGGCCATGGCTGGGAAAGATGACCCAGCCGAGACGTAGCACGTCAGATTCGAAGGAAGCATCCGAATAAATGCGGATCAACGGCTCTGAATCCTGGAGGACAGGGATGTCTCGGGGTCGAAAATCACGAACTGCAACATGTAGAGCCTGGAGCTGAAGGCGTTCCACCGGCGTCAAGGAGGTGACGTCATTATGTTGATGGTGGGTCAAAGCCGGTCCGGCAATCTTGCCAAGGTGGCCCATGCACATTGTGAAAAGCCAATTGATGTCGCCTCGGAGCTTGCCAGCATCATCGCGGTTAAGGGTGCCCTCGGTGAGGATGGACTCCAATTTGGCATCGACTTTGGCCAAAGTAGAATACTTGGGTTGTACCCGGACAAACCCAAGAGACAGGAAGTCACCCGTATGGAGGGACGTGCCAAGGTAATGCCGATTGGCAGCGGGAACAAACCCCTTCGCAGGTTGTGGAGGAGCTCCCATCAATTTGAAGGTCAGGCGTAGGCCAGCTTGGGACACGTCGGCATCAGCAATGGCCTCAACTGCGAGCTCATCGTCAAAGTAAGCAGCAGTGAGGGCCAGGGTACAACGCCTAGAGATGGCAATACCCAGCTGGGGGAAGCGGTTGAAGGCCACAACTGCACTTTCAAGGCCAAATGCTAGTCCCCAGAGCAATGTGAATCGCCAGCCGGTGTTGGGCACGAAGATCGCCACCACAGAGAAACGCTGATGTTCAGGAAGAACTGGAAGGCCTCTGTATGCATCAGGGAGATCATCGGTCCCGATGCGAAGGCGCAGCCAAGGGATCTCAGCGCCACAAGCTGCCTGATCAGAACCAACGCGCCGAGCAATAGAGGCAGCAACCGCAGCAACAAAGTCAATGCTGACAGTGAAAATCGTCTCAGACATTGAGGTGTGGCTGTTATGCTGGGTGCGGCGGGCGTTGTCGATCATGCGCCGCTTGTTGTCGGCTTGCACGATTTGGAACCGCTCCAGCGGTCGCCATTGGCCCCGGCCAAAAAGGGCATCCACAGCTGAGCGCGACAGCAGCGGGGAGCAGAAGCCCTTGGCTTGTTCCGCAAGCGTCTGTTCAAGGATATCATCAGCGTGTCGGGGTGGCTTGGAATGAACCAAAGCTTCGACGACCTCATCAGCGTGCTCCAGCCATTTGGCTAGCGGGTCAACTTCCCGAGGAGCCACGGGCCGGAAGATCCCGATCTGGGAGATCTGTCCCACAATGGGGTAGCCGCGAACAAGGCATTGAGCTTGCAGGCGGTCTGGCCATCTTAACAAGATAGTCATCACGGCCACAAAGCCTGGACGTTTGGTAGAGGCCACCCGGTGAGCACTCTCCACACGCCAGGAATCCAAGGCATCTTCCAGCGGTTGAACCGCTTGGGCTACCGATCGGAGGGTACGGCGCAGCTTGGCCGAGAATGCCGGCAGAAATTGGCGGCACACACATATGGCCTCGATGGTGAAGACCACATCATGCTCAGGCCACTCGGTGGCTTGGAAAGGTGAAGGAAGCCGTGAGGATGCGGTCATGTGCCCCAGTTTCCCCAGACCCGGCGGCAACAAGTGATCCAAGCCACGGGCAGAATCAGTGGGGTGGCGTTGGCCTGAAAGTCCACTATAGATCCGTGCTCGTTCGTGGCGCCCCAACGGCTGTGGTCCAAGGTCATCCGTAGGCATACCTCGAAGGCGGCACCAGGCCACGTAGCTTTGGAGAACATGAAGATCACAGTGGGCCAGTCGTCTCTGGACATCAGCCATCAGCTGCGGTGTAAAGACGCAGTCCGGGAAGAGCGCTGCCAGTTGGCCCGTAATGTGTGGAGAGTCGGACAACCCCGGGAAATGGTCCAACCTGCCGGGCTCCCAGACCGTGTGGAGGAGTCTGGACTTGAGGCCAATCTCTTCCACGTCCACCATGGGATGTTGGATCTTGGCTTCCAAGAGATGGGGCAGCAGGCAAAACACAGCCATGACGGAGAACAGGTGGAACCCATTGCCGATCAAGCTGTTCTGGCGTTGGCGCCGCAAAGCTGGTTCACCCGGCACACAATCAAAGCTTTCTGGAGGCAATCCCATGAGTTGCGCTCGTTCATGTGGGGTCGGCTGTCGCCATTCCGCATCTCGCCAGACCAGGGAGGCTTCTTCGTAGGCCGACGGAGGGAAGCGCCGGTTGTCCTCCATGAACCGCTCCACAGCCGCAGCAGATGAGCTGGCGGTACGATCGGCCGGGTGGTAAAACTCTCGGGTGAATGGATGCATGGCACCACGACCTCCTTGAGATACCACCTCTTTGGCGTTCAGCATCGGCTGGAACCCATGGCCAAAGAAGCACTTGTTAGGCAGAGGTTTGTCGCCACTGTATCGCAACTCAGGGACGCTCCCCTCGGCGGGCACCCAGTCCCAACCGGGGGGGGCAGTCAGTGATGGCGTTGCTGCACCAGCACGGCCTGCCAACCAATAAAGGCGATGGCGGCGTACCCATCCACAGGCAGCTGCATCAATCATGATGGGCTCCGCTTGAAGCCATTCGTTGTAGCTGTCGCGCACTGGTTGCGGCATACTGCCCACATTCTCCAAGAAGACAATCAACTCCACGCCTTGCATCTCAGGGAGCATAGAAAACTCATGGCGGAGTCTCTGCAACTCCAGCGGCTGCTGGCTACGGGGGTCGGCCAGCCCTCGGCGGCTCATGTTCAGGGAGGAGTTACCCTGGCAAGGGCTGCCACCGCCCATGATGACACCACGGAAAGCCCTCCGCCTCAACAAAGGGACGAACTGAGCAGCGGCCAGGTGTTCAACCCGCGGCACGTGGACCAGGTTGGGCATGTTGGTGCTGGCCACATAGCAAGCGATCTCATCGCACTCCGCCGCCACTCCATAAAAATGCAGCCCCATTTGGAGGAGGGCGATGCACAAGCCGGAGAAGCCCGCCCAGAGGTCCAGCACCAACCATGTACCTCGGACCGTGGGAGCCCATGGAACCTGAGCTAAATCGCCCCGCCCTCGCCATGTCACTTGGAAGCCCGAAGTCTCGACGCCAGATCGCCCTCAGCCTGGGCGTCTTCGCCATGGCACACCAACACCTGACGCAGGTGAGGGCCTGGTGGCGGAGCCTGTGGGCCAGGCACAGGCTGAGGGGCCTGAGGTAGGGCGACCCGCCGCGATGGGGCAGGTACCTCTGCAGCTGATGCCATCGTGGGGCCCCCCCGGGACACGGTCCCTAGGGGGTGTTGTCCCTAGGCAGAGTAATGCTCCAGGCGGGTGTGCTTCTTGCTGAGGCACGGTCCACCTTCTTCAAGCCGAACATCGCAGCAATGGAGGCTGGTACATTTGGCCTCTTTGCAACCACGTCCATCATTCCAAGGCTTGCAGATCTTCTGGCCTCCTTTGATCTGGCTGACGGTCTTGAAGGAGTCGCCCTTGATCTGCCTCTTCCGCTCGGCAGGAGGTTCCGGCTCAGCGGCACGCTTGCTGGCACCGGTCTCGATGGTCTCCACCAAGGGCTGAATAGCCGGGGATCGCCACTCCAAATGGGTGTCACGGAGGGCATTGTCCAAGGCCCACTGGCCAGGTTGGCCACGGCGAATATAAGTCGCCATCTTGCCCCGGGTAAGGAGGTCGTTGCGTTGCAACCACAAAAGGCTTCCGTGCCCGTACTCCATGGTGTCCTTGAGGGCCCGGTCACAGTAGTGCAAGGCACTGGACAAATCCATGAAGAGGACCTTGTCACCCTGAGCCGATGGGGAGACCAGGAAGTTTCCTGCCCAAGCCCAAGCGTGGGCTAGTACCCGCAGGGCGAAGTAGTACTCCGTGACGCTGCGGAGGCTCACGGAGACCTCCTTCTCGAGCTGCAGCTGGAGTCCTCCGGGGAGGGCAATCGAGTCACTGGAGCGAGGCTGTGAGACGGTCAAGACGGACTTCACCTTCTTCATGTCCACCACCGTCATGGATTGTTTCCTGAACTCCCTGTAGACCCGGGAACGCAGCTGTTCCGAGGGTTCCAGGACAGAGTCGAAGGACAAGTTGTACCTCTTGGTCCAGTCGACGTTCATCTGCTGGATGGTCGTGTCAGGGAGCGCCTCGTCCAAGTCTTCTGACTTGGGTGCTGCTTGAGCAGCGTGTTTCAGGGCCTGATGGCCAGCCTCATAGGCACTCTTGAAGCGAGCCAGGGCTATTCTGTTCCCTTTCAAAGCTGACACCTGGTCGATATGGTCAGCAAGGGACTTCTCCCAGTCGGAGGCCTAGATCATGTAGACGAAGTCGTCCAGCGTAGAGATCTGGTGGAACTTGGTGTAGTTGTCGATCCAGCTTTGCTCGAGGTTGGCACCGCGAAAGCAAGTAGCCAAACCTCGGTCATCCTGAAGCACGTCAATGCGGGTCATGGCAGCCACTCAAAACCTCGTGAGGGGGGGCTTGAACCAAAACTCCAACAAGTACAAACAGTTACAAATGGGGCATGCCAGACAGTTCGTGTGACACCCGACCAAGGGGTACATGAACCTACCTGTCATGGCAAACCTGGTAAATCAAGGCATGTAACCAGCGACACGGCACTCAAAGAGTGTCAGCCGCGGCACATTTTCCTGCCATGGGCCGGGTCAAATTGCCCAGCTGTTATATTCCGCCAGGGACTGGTACAGTCCTCGGGGCATACGGCTAAGGCACCGCTCACAAAAGGCAGCCCTGCTCGTCCCAGCACAGCCGCGGCCACGGCTTTGGTGCTCCTGGACGAATGGAAAGTCGCGGCACCAGGGCGTCAGGCGGCCCTCCATCTCCTCTTGAACAAGGTGGGTCTTCCTGCCCTGGACGAACCATGGGATGTCATCAGCCGCATCTTCATCAGCTGGAACCCCACAAAGGTCGTCTCCTTCGGCCGTGACATCGGAGGCAGAGCTCGATAGGTCTTCGGAAGAGTCGGAGGAATGCTCCGCCGAAGGAAGTCCGGACCCGGCCGGGACTTCCTCCTCCACCGGCAGGGCTCCAGGAGCCACTTCAATGGCCTCTTTGGCCTCTGCTTCGAAGGCGCTCAGATCCTCTGGGATCAGCTTGTGCGCTGCTGCAAACTCGGGCCACAGCCAGGCATCCCTGCAAAGCATGCCGTCCTCTGTCAGCGCGAGCTCCCTGCGCTTCTTGTGGAACAGGTTCATGAAGCGGTTCACGCAGCGCTGCTTGACCTGTAAGGATCGTAGGAGCTTGGATCCGGCATAGTGGACCCCCATGGACATCAGGGCCCGGGGTTTCCCAGCTGAGGGGTCCCGGCCACCTCCAGCTGGGATCTCCGTCCAGTTCCCCACTGCTTGCAGGTCAAGGTCCGGCAGTTCGAGGATGTTCGCAATCGTCGGGATGAATCGACGAAGCCGGTTAAATCCCGCTGCCTGTGCATTGGTGAACTCGACCCCGATCTGGTAGAGGGCGCCCCGCAGGAGCTCGAGGAAGCGGCTTCGTGACATGGGCTTGTTCACTATGAGCCCGGTGTGTTCCGTGACTTCCCAGAACTCCTCGGGGTTCAGGGACACCGCGGGGAGCAAGAAGCCACTCGACTGCGGGTACTCGTTGGCGTAGAAGTCCAAGAGGGTCTGTGTGACTCCTTGACCATCCAGAGTGGCGTGCGGAAGGCCCCATGCATAGCCAGGTCTGGCGCCCTTCTTTCTGGCTTTCCCTTGGGCGCACTGGAACTCCAAACTGGGTCCATGGGTTGTGACAAACTTGGACCGTTGGAGGTGCTCAAATCGAATGCACCCCAATGCGGCCATCAACATCTGGGCCACCAGCACCCTGTGCGTCCCCTGAGACTTCTTCATCAGCAGGAGGAGGCTCACGAACTCCCAAGGTTCAAGCTCTGGTGCTTGGCGGCCTGTGTGGTGCACCGCATGGAAGCGGAAGTGCTTGGTGGCCCAATGGTCCATCGGGAACTGGGCACCAAAGGTGGCTGCATACCACTTCAGGCTGGCATGCATGCTGGCCGCCGCCGTGGGGCCCCCAGCTGATACCTCCCGGAGGAAATCAGCCAAGAGCAAGGGGGTCGGCTGTCGATGGTTGACATCACGGGCGGCACAAAAACGAAGCCAACGCCGTAGCGCCGAAGCTAAAGCTCCCAGCCTCTGAGAGGACAACCTTGAAGCACCCGCCATAGTAGTATCTTTGAGGCGCTGCACCTCCATGGGGTCTTGCAGCTGGGCTGCAGTAACGCCCAGCTCCTCCAAGTTCAGGACATTGTCAAGGACGAGGTGGAAGAGCTGGTCCAGCTTCGACAGCTTGGTGGCATCCTCCTTGGCGTGGGCATCCGAAGCTGCTGCGGCCACCAAGATAGGAGCTCGCTCCGCTGGGACCCCTGAAGGGACCAGGCGCCGCACCTTGGCAGATGCCTCACTTGGCTGGCTCGGCACTGGAGTCTCGGCCCTGCGAGTGGGGACGCCCACACTCGAGTTCCGGACCTGAGCCACCTCCACGCCAAGGGCCTCAATCTGCTTCAGGCTGGCCCGCCTCGCATTGGTCCAGGCCACTGCAATGGCCATAGCTTCATGCCCTTGAAGTGCCCGGCCAGTCTTCTGCTCGAGCTCCCTGTAGCAATCCTGAGATGAGGACCACATGTACCTGAAGTCCCCAACCGATTGGATGCCCAGCTCCATCACGGCCTGGTGGATGTCGTTGGGGACATCATGCAGCACGAGGTCCAGCTGCGGCGTCAACCCTCCGGCTGCGGGCAATGAGGCGCATGAGCTCGTCGGCGTTGAAGGACCCGTCCGATTGCCGTGGGATGGATGTTGTTGCCATCCTGACCGGCGGGTCGAGGGTGACAAAGCGGCCCTCCTCATCGTGGTAGCCCGAGATCTCCAGCACGTCGTCCTCAGCCTGGCGCGCCACCTCCGTATAGACCAGGCCCCTGTCCAGGCAGCTGTGGCACAGGAGGCGTTCCCGGTCGCACTCCGTACACGCAGCGCAAGGAGGGCGAGGGCAAGACTCGCAGAAGCAGCAAGTCCACTCGCCGCAGTGGCAGCACGGCTGCCCCCCCAGCCTCCGAAGGCTCGCGGCCGCCTGGAAGTGGACGACCGCCCACGCTTCTCTGGCTCCCTTCACCAGGAGGCGCTCCGACCGGGTGAGCTCACGGACCTCAACCCGGGGGTGCCCCTGGAAGAAGGTGCGAGCCCTGTCTTTCCAGGCAGCCCAATCCACAGGCGACAAGGCCATGAGAAGATAGGATGGCTGCCTGGATGACTTGAGCCAAAATTGGCATAAGTCATCCAGCAGTCCAACCCATCTTTTCAAATCACATATAGACCCTACCCAACCAACCTACTCATATGTTAGAGTAATATGAGAAGAGTGTGCTCATGTTTCAGAAATCATTGAAATCATGCTCATTTGAAGGGAAACTGATGCAAGACTGCAAATATAGAAATCCACCCACACCACAACAGCCATGAAGGTGTGGTGGCATGTAGGAAGGCAAACAAATTTGCTCCAGCAGCAATAGTCCTAATATTCGACACTCAAAGGGTTTGAAATCTCCGCTCAGAGCTGTGCTTGAATCACGAGTGCGTGCATTTGTTCCCCACCTGCCAGGTGAGGGTTGTTAGATTTTATGTCAGTTGCCTCCTCGTCCTCCTCCTCCTCCTGCTCCTCCTGCTCCTCCTCCTCCTCCTCCGCCTCCTCCTGCCTCGTCCTCCTCCTCCTGCTCAACCGCGACCCTCCACGCTCAGTGTGCCCTGCCGGACCTCAACCACGACCATCCCCGCCCAGTGTTCCTGCCGGACCTGCCGGTGTTCCCTGCCGGACCTCAACCACGACCATCCACGCCCAGTGTTCCCTGCCGGACCTCAACCACGACCATCCACGCCCAGTGTTCCCTGCCGGACCTCAACCACGACCATCCACGCCCAGTGTTCCCTGCCGGACCTCAACCGCGACCATCCACGCCCAGTGTTCCCTGCCGGACCTCATGTAGGAAGATATGGGACAAAGATAGAATGCCAGAAGATATGCCGGAAGATATGCCAGATAGAATGCCAGAAGATATGCCAGAACATATGCCAGAAGATATGCCAGATATGCCAGATAGAATCCAGATAGAATGCCAGAAGATATGTCAGAATATATGCCAGAAGATATGCCAGATAGAATGCCAGATAGAATGCCAGAAGATATGTCCAGAATAGATATGCCAGATAGAATGCCAGATAGAATGCCAGATAGAATGCCAGAAGATATGTCAGATAGAATGCCAGAAGATTTGCCAGTAAGAAAATGTATAAATGTCATGGTGGGGATCACACGAAGTAAAGTAATTTGTCTCCATTTTTTGCGCGCCCAAAATCCCACGTCGTCCCAACACTGGGCTCATCCAAGAGGCTTGGCATTCGTGAAGACTAAGATCTTGGAGTTGCCGACATCGTTTCGCTTTTGACCGTCTTGAATCGCCCAGTAAAGCAAGTTGTGAAGGGCGTCATTCTTTCCGCTGTCCTCAAAAATGGCAAGTCAGCAAGCTCTAGTCGTGGCAAACACCCTGAAGAATGCTGGAATCAACAAGACAAGTGGATGAGGAGTACAGTAAATTCAATATGATTCTCTTACCTCATATCCCATCATATCGCCCATATCTCATTCCGTATATGGCGGCGTTCAAGCTAAGGTAGAGTCCGAAAGCCTCCACGTCAAAGGTGGGCATTGGGAATTGGATGTTCCTCCCCAAAGATGGTCTGCGGTCTATAGTATGGCGACAGTCAGATTTCACGTCAAGTCTCTTGCTTCCAGAATTTGTTGAGAAACATGCTTCTTGGATCTCTGTCCAGATCTGGTCCGTTCCGTCGAAGGAAGATCTGCTGGACATTCTTGCAAGCAGACAGCGTCTTTCCATTGACGATCACACTGAGTAGCGGTTCCTCGGACGTCCGGATGCGCCCATCGGATGATCAAGGTCCACGGAATTTTGTGACCTATCTGACCTATCCCGCCCGCCTAACGATGCTTCGGGATATCTCAAACGAAATCATGAACACATAAAGACAACACAAAACAACCACTGGTTGGTGGTATACCTACCCTTCAGAAAAATATGAAAGTCAGTTGGGATGATTATTCCCAATATATGGAAAAAAAAGAAATGTTCCAAACCACCAATATGAACCATATCAGCAGATTATCAGCAAATCATAATATGCTGTAGACATGGGTAAGATGGGGTCCAAAAAAGGAGATGGTTAAGTGCTGAAATGACCTGACAAAAACTGGCCCGGCTGGGCTTGCAATTTTGACCCATGCTCGCTCCAATCCCGATTCATGGCCTTATGGTTACCCTCCAATAAACTAACATAGCCATGGGAAATCAGCATCTTAACTCGGTAAACCATCTATAAATGCGCAATTTTCCATAGCCATGTTAAATTCCAGCAAGGTAGTGACTGAATGACTGTGATTTATCCAGATATTTCGGTAAATTATAAGACCTGCAATCCTTTCTGGAATTAGTGCACAACGACTTCACCACAAATGATGGTTGATACGGGCATCCCCAAAACGGCGGGAACTCTGGTGTGGGATTCACTTGAAAAACTGTTGCAGATTAATATGTGCCTGGGCAAAGCGCCATAAGGGGAACCCAACAAGAGTGATCTTAATTCAAATTTGGATTCATTATGACTCGGATTTATTGCAATTTGCTAAGTCTTGTCCATTGTGCATATGCGTTTGTACAAGACTGAGGGATATCTAAGTTTATGGATGTTTATGGCCATTGACTCGTGATGAAAGGGACTTTCCAATCCATGAAATGGAACAGGGTATCCTGTGCTTGGACAAGACCATGGAGAATTTCAGGGGCTCCCAAAACGGGAGCAAAGATTGACAAGGTGCTATTCGTCCCTCCTAGTTTGATGCTAGCTTGTTTCTTCAAAAGCAAGGTTCTGGGGATCAATTTCATGGACTGGCTTCTAGAAATCCCGTCCCCTCCTAACATTAACCCGCAGAAAAACCATGGTTGAGGAGGGAATTTACACATATTAGAGAGCATTAACCATAGTGGTGTTGAATGTGAAAGGGGAATGAAATTGATCCATTAATATCATGATTCATGTTCATCTTGATTTTTGATGGAAAAAGCTATTCCCCTAGTTAATTGGCTACCAGTGCCCTGATGACTGGATTAACTATGCAAACTGGGGGATCAACTATCAAAGTTTATAAAGATCATAAAGAAGATATTTACATAATTACCTTTTACATATATATATATATATGTGTATTTACTAAGCATCATTAACCATCTATAGTTGTTGGGATACCCGGATAACCCTCTGATCTCTCCTGGAATGAGAACCTCCTGCGCCACGAAACCCTCGGCATGGGCCGCTCGCCATTCCTCGGGAAGATCTTGTTGATCTCCATGGGCAACTGATCGTCCCAGGTGGCTGTGAAATACCTCGGCGCACCGCAAAAATTGCCATGGTTACCATCAAAAATTGGCAGTTGACGATGAAATAGTGTGATTTAACATGATTTAACCACAAAAAAATGGGACACACCCTGGTCATGAAAAGATAATGAAAAATGACAAAAGGTGGTAAACCATCGATTCGGTGATTGAGCCACGATACAACATCTGTATGTCGCTCCTCAAAGATTTCAAAATCTCAAAAGTGTGTTGCTCACCGTCCCTGTCCCTCTCCTTGACCATCAGAGAGTCTGCTTCATCTACAACAATGAAAGTGGTGCGTCTGAAAAAATTTCGCAGGAAACCGGACTTTGTCTTTTCATTGTGCCTTAGGAAGTCCAACAATCTCCCTGGAGAGGCTACCAGGATTTCGCAGGGCCGGTAGTTTTCGCGCTTTTCGCCTGGGATAATCAGCTCCATCTTCAGGAGCTGATTTGCTCTCCTGGTCCGCCCAAAATCCCAGCTGGCTGCTGCTATACCAATTGACACCAAGTGTATTTATATAATTTTTAATATGTTTTAATAGGGATCATTGTAGCCCAGTGTCAGACTGTCAACTAGTGAATCAGTAGAAGGATGTAGAAGGTCATGAGTTCAATTGAGCATCTCCAATTTGACCATGTCTGCACGCAAACCCATCAAATGAAGATCTTTCTTTGCATTGTGTCTTTTGCTAGGTTCATCGCAAGTTTTGACGCTTTGACCCCCACATTCCATGTTATCTTTCTTCGCAAAATCCTAAAGAGTATTGTTGGACTGCTATTCCGTTTCAACGTTGATAGGACCTGTAGGAGCAGCGCGAAATCCTGCACATGACTGAACATCAACATCATTCTGAGCTAGATCAAATCCGACAACACAACTCCGAGTATCAGCTAATTGTTCAAACCTGAACCACTTGAGCAGTGTTTTTTGGGTGCTTGGGTCCTATACTACGCGAGCACCTACGCAGGTTATTCTGCCGCCAAAGGTCCAGGTGTTCTCAAAGGTGCGTTTGATCTGCCGTGCCAAATCCGCATTCGGTACCAAAATGAGGGCCTGTGGTCCGCAGTCTTCATCGTTTCTCATCGCTCCCACCTGCGCCTGAGGCGTTTTTTACAGGCTAAAAAAAACGCTTTCGCCCACGGTGTCCCTATCGATCCTCAACAGGGACCTTTGACCATGCAGGTGATGTGGCCATGACTCGCCGAAGATGTTGCCCATCCCCCAGCCCCACCTTGCAGTGCTCGAACATTGGCACCAGATAGGCCAATGTCTTGCCACTGCCTGTGGGAGCCACTCCAATGAGGTCGCGGCCACTCATGGCAGCAGGCCACACCTACATGACGTTGGGCCATGGTCAAGCTACATGACGTTACATGTCAAGCCTTACAAGGGGTATATAAATAAGGTGAAATCATGATAAATCCAATGAAAATGGATTGATGACAATCCAACAATAGGATACAATAGGTTTTTCCAATCCACCAAATCCAGGTGACCATGGCATACAAAACGGATATGTCAAAAGCGAAGTGTTTTGGTGCATATCAAAAAGGTTGGTACCCTCTGGTGATCCAGCAGTTTGCTATGGAACATCGCCATTACAAATATAGATCATCGAACTATGGCTGCCAAGCTGCCAATGGCTGGCCCATGGCTTCCACATTTATGTTAAATTACCAAGGGGTCAATGAATGTTCACCCCCACCAAATATGAATATCAATTGGTCTCATAGGTTTGAACTGCCTATCCCCACAAAAAAAAGGGGATGTCATCGGCTACCAGCAAACAATGCATGAACATGCATGAACATAAACCCTAATATAAACCCCAGTATCACCTATGTCATCCTATGTCCAAATACTTTTAGGAATGAACATGAAGGATTTCCATGGATTTCCACTTGAGTCACATAAAAACTCTGCTCCGAGTTTACCAAGTCTGGGAATGAATCCCAATTAAGTCACAGTCGGGTCGTAGCAGCATGAAGCCTCAATGTGGAAAGCCTACTCCAGCCATCTCCAGCCCATCACAAACAGAGATTACACATTACACAGCCTGTTACATCAATGCTTTGGCTTGGATTCAGAACCCAAAAAAAACCGTTGATCATCGTTTATCCATTGCCGATCGCCAAGATGGGGCCCCTGCCTGCATCTGAATGGGCGAGGGCGTTTCAATCTTCATGTCTCTTCTCAATGACTTGATGGATTCTTCTGGCAAACTCGACACGTCTAAGGTGTTCACCGGTGCCAAGACGTCCACAGGACGATCTTCCTCGAGGATTTCAATGTTGTTGGCCAACCGAATGAGATGGACTGTTTGAGCATCCCAGCCTGCACAGCTACTTGGTAAATTTGGCAAATTTGGATGTGTGTTGGGATGGTTTTGGATGTTGGTGAAATTCTGATGATTTTAAAAAACACCTTAAAACACATTTCGGGATTGCTATGGGGATTTTATATGATTTTATGGCTACATGTGGATTTGAATTTTCAGATACTGGGATCATCTTAAAAACCAAAAATATCAAAGAAAGTTGGGGCTAACTTGACCATGGTGATTCCATGCTGCCTCGAACGGTTGGGTGTTTGTTGTAGATGTCCTTTCGGCAGGAGGACAACGTCTCACCAGCATAGGTGATGTCAGGCAGCCTTTCTCCTCTCCTTGGAACTGTTCAACACGAGTCTGAAATTTGGGGAGTTAAGACACAAGAATTGCTGATTTTAGTGGTGAAAAATGGTGAAAATATAGGAAAATAAGATAAAATAAGTGTAAACAGAAAAATTTGTGGGGCTCCTACATTGTAAGACAGACCTACAGGCTGAGAACGAACCAACTCAGAACAGGTCTTGGAAAAGTGCTGTATATCTAGCTAATTAGTACGCCGGCACAGGGGTCCGAAATTCGCAGGTCTTGTCTTCTTCACCAAGAAAAATCTACCCAGCAGCACATCATAGCGAGTCAGTGGAGGGTTTGCCAAGTGTTTTTCATCTTTCAGGGAAAAAAATGAAAAAAGAAACAAATTCAAAACATGTTCTGGCAAGAGGAAGCAGAGGAAGCGTCCAAATGTTCTTTCCTTTGCCTTTTCCTTTGTCACCATAACTGCTGGCAGCACCAGGAGTGTAGTTTCCCCACGCAGACATCGCGCTGGCAATTGTCTGCCTTGAGAAACTCTCAGCAAATATATGTTGGAAGCTTCATGCTGGTAGGTCTTTGTGCTGAAAAGAAGTGCACGAGAATGAAAAGGATGCCATGAACTACTTAAAGCGATAGCTGGAAAATGTACATGTTCATATGAATTCATGCAGTGCAAACAAGAGGTTTGGATACTTCTCTGACCTTGTGCGCCCCTGTTGAGTTATCTTGTAAGATAACATGTTTCTCCTGACAACTCGTATTCGTTCATTGCATGTTGTCAGCACGCCAATCGTGCAGGGGCACGGAATCTTGTTTGCTCTCGAGCCAATGCCAAGATGAGGGAAAATCTCCCAGACCTCCCCAGACTTCTTGGTGCTCATTTTTAACAAGGCAGTGAAGCCTGGTTGATTCATCAAGTGCCCATTTGATCCATTTGTGGCAGATGGAATTGGAAGGCCCAATTCAAATCTCCAAGTCAATAGGAGTCATCATCCCATTGTAGGGATGGAAGAAATATTAGCGTGGCTGAAATTGGGTACATACCTCTAATGCGGTTCTTAATCATCGTTTTCCCACGAAAATATGGCCAAGCAATGAAAAATCTCCCAGGTTCAGGTTCAGGTTCACACCCAACAATCATATCAAGTCATATCAAGTCCCATGATACCTCAATGATTACCCTCTGGTAAACTAACATAGCTATTGAAAATGGCCATTTATAGTGGATAAAAATGGTGATTTTCCATAGCTATGTTAAATTACCAGAGGGTATCCCATTATTATTGGTTAAATCCCTATTGTTCATGGTTAAAACCCATGTTTGAACCCCGGTTCGTCGTCACGCTTCGTCGCGGTGTTTTTCGGGCTCTCGCCTGTCCGCCAGCTGCGTAGCAAGGTTCTTGACCGACCTCTCGAAGAGCACGGCGAATGTTTTCTTGTGTATGTGATACAAATGATACATTCAAGACATGCAATATATATATATAATTATATATATATGGTACATATAATGTACAAGGTATACAACATAAGATTTCGTAATATACTTACATGTGTATCATATATTGCAATATATATATATAATAAAATACATATATACATATATATATATATATTCAGTCATGGGGGTATAAAATATTGCTAATAGGATGAAAAGCAGAGAACTTGAAAAAGACTTCAAAAAGCTCATGCAGTCACTCTCCCATCCTAACCACATAGCCATCCACCCATCCATTACACATATCAAGATAGGTATATTTCACAATTACTTGGTGACCAACAGCCACATTTTGGTGCACATCTTATATCTGTCCATTTCAGACTTTTTTGGGTAGATGCAGCCAAATGGCATCTAATCCTCCAAGTTTTGGAACAGTCTATAAAGTGGCATGAAACTGGCGAGATGAACATTTCCGAATCCACGTCGAGTTGAAAGATGTTGAAAGGCTCTGCCCCTTGGTATGTCTTCCTTGGTTGAAACCCTACCAGGCCCTACCACTCTGCACTCCATTTGTGACTCATAGCCTGGGGCGGACCTGAATGCTGCTACAGTTGCCATTTCTTCAAGGAATTCTCTCTCACCTCATGCCGCTGCCATCAGGGTCCCCGACGCGGCTCCGGCACGTGCAATTGATGCAGCAATCTCCTTTGAGGCTTCTGCAATGCCGTTGGAACATGATGGACCAAAAGCCAGGGTGCTGGAACCAAATCTGAAACCGTCTGAATAGATCTGAATAGTCTATCCTGCCAATCTTGCCACCAACGATATTAGCTTTGATACAGTCAAGCCCGCCCGTTGAAGAAGCCCGAGTGCAAGCCAGCCAAAGTTCCAAAAGTTGCCCCGTTTAGGTGATTCCATTGCATATCAAATGCAGATTCTATGCACCTTCTATTCATGATATGCGTATGTGTGTGTGTGCGTTTGTCTGAAAATAGGGTATACCTTCCAAATCGCAATTTTGGTCGGGAAAATATGTGTCCATCTGAACAGATCCAAGCCAGTGGATTTTGCTCGGATGGCGTTCCCCTCCTTATCTAGAGATGTGTTGGAATTTCTCGACCTGAGCTGGCTTGAAGCACCGCACATTAGGTCAAGACACCTGGCATTCGAACACCCCAAAAAAACACTGTCGGCAAAGAGACTGGAGCGAGTTATAATAACTATAATATCACCCTGCCACTCTGGTGCTTGCATTTGCTTCCAGATCTTACTGTAGAGTCAATTTCTATGACATCTAAGCTCCAATTTCATCCATCTCCCGGGGCTACTGGAAACATCTGGAAGATTCTGGAAGCAACACCTTCATCACTCAGGAGCGGGCTTGTAGGCTTCAGTAAGGATGGCCAAGACCTTGCGGTTTATTGATTCATTGAATCATTTGATGGGATGGGACCTGCGTGGGACTTCCAGAAGACTTCCAATATACTCTGCCCTCCATAGATCGGGACGATCCGAAGGGTAGCTCATTTGGAGGTTCCTAAAATGTGGGTACCCATGCGTACCCCCAGATCATCCAGTGATTATATGTCATTATCATTAGACCATTTTAGTATTGAAACCCATGGTGACTTGCGGATCCCCCATTCTAAGAAGCCCCCATGTTGATAGCCGGAAACGCAAAAGAGTTTGAAAGACTCACCGCGCTTTGGCCAATGGCACATCCTGAGCGCTGTGACTCGCGGTTGCTGCTCTGTCGCAGTTACAACCTGTCGGATCTGACCACCCAACAATTGCAGAAACTCTAAGTGAAAATAGTCTGGATCCACACTGATCTGAAATAGTGTGTGCATAGTAGATTTAATAGATGTATGGCGTATTGTCATAATGTATCATGTGACAATAATATCTGATCTATCTCTGCACCACAGCTCTCACCAAGGTCAGAAAGCCCCCGCTGGCCGGGTGGTTCTTTGCCATCAGCCCAAGGAGTTGTGAGCATGCCTGCCAGGCGGTACCCTCCGGTGTCATCAAACATGACGGGAGGAAATCCCAGAAGTAAATGGAGGTTCTAGCTGGGAAATCAACTATAAATGGCTAGCCCATTTTTGGAGACAAACAGTCCTGAGATGTCTGACGATACGACAGGTCACCAAGTTCCGTGACGCGCACCTTGACGCCTACTTCACGATCACATCGAGGTGGCATGTGAGACCTGATGGGATGATCATCGTGGCTCATGACACTTGACCACAATAACAAATCAGTAACAAATGGTTGCACAAACATAGACACAATACATTAGATCATATTCTTAGATACATATACATATACAAATGTATTTATATAATATACAATATCATATATATATAATATCATATATATATATATACATATACATTATACAACATAGTAACCATCCTCAAAAATCAATGGTGATTCACCACTTTTCGAGATATCCTGTTTTCAAAAATCACCCAAAATCACACCGTCTCCCAGCCCTTGGGGCCCTTGGGAACAGCCAGGTGCCAGCGACAGCCACATCTTCCACGCGACCGAGGAGTCACCGCCCACGTTGGTTTCCTGGAGACGGGAGCTGGAGCCAGCTCACAGGGCTAAACATGTATATATATATATAATTAATTATATATATATATATACACACGATCGATCGATCGATCGATCGATCTATCTATCTATCTATACGTATATGTACACTGTGTATGCATATATATATATATGGTAGCCCACCCCCCCAAGAAAAGACGCGCCTGTTTTAATTGTGTACTGTATATGTACAATATGTGCAATGTGTTTGACAGAATTATACCTATATATATATATGTGTGTGTGGGTGTGTACAGTATGTGTATAGATACGTACATATATACATTGAATAAGATGTGTGTGTGTGTGTACATATATATATATAATTATATATATATGCGTATATATATAATTATATATATATATGCGTGTATATATATATATAATTATATATATATGCGTATATATATATATATATACACACATGTGTCATCTATACTAAATACGTGTAACACACACACATATATATATATTGATGTATTGATATATTGATATATTGATATGAGCCTGCAAGCGTTAACACTAGGCCCGTTTGCGTGGCATTTTCGCCTGGCAAAAGTGCCTGGCACCTGCCTGTGTCAAATCCTTGGCACGTTTCCTTCCTACAAAAGGGCTGGCAAAATGCCCCTGTCACATCATTGCCCTGTGGGTGGTGGTTTTGCCTGTACTGGTCGAAGAACGCGCCGGCAGCAGCGCAAGAACAGCACAGGGAGGCAGCGCCGGAGCGCTGCGACACCACCCTAAGAAAATGAGACGGGTACCTAAGTAGGTTTCAAGAAGCAACCTTAGCCCAACAGGGAGACACGACCCACCAGCAGTCTCAAACCAGATCATCCATCCCCTTTGGGGTACCTAAGGGACCAAATGGTCTGAACCACTTTTCCCATCCAAACGGCATGTTCAGAAGAACACCCCATTTTCCACCATCCGAAACGTTTAAGGATGGGGTCATTCGCCACCAGGTTGCTGGGTCTAAGTTCACATTCCCAGCATATATGGTCCCAGTTCCCAAGACCACCACAGTTCCAGATACAAGAGGTATCAAAAGGACCTCCGTTCTGAAAGCAAGCAGGGCTGCACGCCGCACCAAGAAGCACCGTACGAAAGGAAGAGTTGACATCCAACAACTTTCTCATACCTTTAAAATCGAATTGTAAGAAATCCTGAATGGTATAATCAAAGTCCAGATTGTCATGTCTGTCCTGGTCAAGAAATTTAACAAACATGAACCACCTCCATCCATCCCGAAGTCTATGTTGCAACTCCGAAACCCAGTCCACATCCGGCAGCCTAAGGTCAATTTTACAAAAAGAACCTTGGATAGCCCAAACCCAGGGCTGTTGAACTTGCCAGCCCTTATCATCCATCCACTGTTTAAAGGCATCCAAAGGACTGCCACGTTTAGCATCCCATTCCAACTGGAAGTGGTGTTTCAAGTAATGAACAACCCTAACCAGATTAACTCCAACCAAACAATCAACATGAGTCAAA